CGCTTTTTGAGGAAGCCGAGATCTTCTTCGTCGTCAGAGTCGTCCATGTCGAATCGATTCCTAGGGAAGAGTACTTCAGCAGCGGCGATGATACGTTCCTTCTTGAAAGGCACTGTAACGTCGATGTCAGTGGGGTAGAGTTCATAGAGCTTTCGCTCCAGTTGGTTTCGCAGCGTCTTGGGTAGTCCTTTCCAGAAATAGTAGTTGCTCTGTTGTTCGTTGATCTTGCCTTTTCCTAGGAGCCATCCGCCGACGCGAATGAAGTTGCGCTCATAGTTCCTGAATTCGTCGATGTTGGAGATGGTGTCTTGTTTGGAAAGAGCAACGAGCTCCCTAAGGTCGCGAAGGGAGAATTTGAGGTCGTTCCGGTCGTCGTTGTATTTGCGCAGAAGTTCTCTCTTGAAGTTGTCCCAGTCAGGGTTAGTGAAGTAGAGCATGCCCTCTATCACTTCCCTGACCGACCTAGAGCAGTATCTTCTGATGAGGGAGACCTTGTCAGCGTCGTCGTCGATGTTGTGCTTGCGGCATAATTGTTCATAGTCCATGATGAAGTCCCGAATGGTGGTGTAGTCGCCTTTGAAGGTTTCTGGAGCATCTCTGCTCCGCCGTGGTGGCATGTCTAGCACTCCGCGTGCTTCGACCATAGTGTCCTGTATAAAAGTGTGAGTCTGATCAAATGGGTATAGTCCAAGAGAAAGCTGTAAGTCCGATAGAGTTGGAGGTTTGGTTCTTGATCCTGTGATGGGTGTTTGCGATACACCCCCTGCGGTGGTCACCAGTAATGTCGCGGACGGAAGTTTGTGGTGGGTGTGATGTGCTTGTGGCTGTGTCGAAGAGGCGAGGGGAATTCTTGAGGTGATAGGAGTGTACCACCGATTCTTCAGCTTCTTCTTGCAGCAAACTTCCCTGAGGTCCCGGGCTATCTAAGTCGGGGATTGCTCAGTTGGCCGTCGGTTATTGAACCTGACTTGAATTTGATGGGACAAGCTTTATGAGCTCGTCGGCGATACCTAAAGAGGTAATAAGACGGTTAGCCTGTATGGGAGGCTTGAGGGGTCTTGTGTTGATGTGTTGTACGACGCGCTGTGCGTCGAAGTTCCTAGAAAAATAAAGGGAGAGATCAGTGGTTCCTTTGGTGGCGGAGGCGATAGAGCGTGGGAAACGGTTTCGAACAGCCTACGGTGGCTGTGCAGAGTCGATAGCGTCGATATAGAGTCGATAGGGAAGCTGTCCAGGCACTCGAGTCCTGACAGAGAGGGGTTCAGCAGACGACTGCTGGGCGCGATTAGAGTGAAACTGGTTGATTTTTTCATTCATGCCGATTCGGCTACATTTTATACTCCTTAGCTAGGCCAGCTTTCTGAGTCATATTAGTAATCCTAGCAGTGCTGAGTCAGCTTCTGACTCAGCCGAGTCATGATTTGTCATGTGCTGACTAAGATTGGGCACCGCTTAGTAATCCCTTTCCTAATATGGTCAAACTTTCCTGGGCCTGTTTAAGGTACATGCTTGGTCTATTCTACTTAGATTCTATACTACTACATAACAGAGAGGCTGCAGAATGAATAAAAAAATGGAGGTTTTCGAGCAGTTCCGCACCTATTCACTTTAGGGGCGGGACAACGCGGCATGGCGAACGGCTTCGCCCCACAACGCCTTCGGCAAATTAGCGGCGAGGAGCATCGTGCGTCCGTGGCCGACGAGCGTCTGGATTAGGCGCTCGACCTTGCCGTTCTGCGGCGGCGAGTCGTGCACGGTGAGTCGCCGAATAGTGCCCTGGCTTTCGAGATGAGCGGTTGACTTCCTGCTTGTTAGCTCGCCGGCACGATCACACTGCCACTCCTTGATGACAGCGACGCCTCGCTGTGCCTTCACCCAAGCCTCGTACGCGACGTAGGCATCGTGCGCGTCCGACTTCGCGACCAAGCCCGTGATAACGGCCTCGTCGGAGTAGTCGTCGAGGAAGAGGATGAAGTGGTGCTTGCCACCTATCGAGCGGACCGGGGCAGGGCCCCACAGATCACTGTGCACGCGCTCGCCATAGCGCGTGGCCTGCGGGCTTGAGCGGACCTTGGGGAACGGGACGCGCTTCGGCATGCCCTTCGCGCAGTCGGCGCAGAAACCGGGGTCATCGGACGTCAACTCGACGCCGGTGATGATGCCGTCACGCACCATACGGATCAATGCGGGTGTGTACGCGTGTCCCATGCGACAGTGAAGCTCATGTGGTGTTAACAGCTGTGGCCCGTCGGGCGTGGTAGCGAGTGCGCTGCGTGCCGGGAGAGGAGGGGATGCGCTAGGTGCGGGCGTCTCGAGCACTGGGTAGAGGCCAGCGCGCTCCGGCACCGTGAAGATAGTGTGCCCGTCTGGGGCGAGGATGTGGGCGCCGTCCTTGTCGAAGCGGACGGATAGGCCGCCTCTCGCGATGCGGCTGATCGATACGAGGGAGAGGGGCATGCCTTCCGCATAGTAGACCTCCCGGAGCGTGATCTCGACGGGGTTGCCTTTATGAAGGACACGGAAGGGGACATCGCCCATGCCAGTAGCGTAGAAGGTACGACCGTCGGCAGATGTGATGGGTTTTGGGGCGATCTCGCGGAACGTGGTGAAGCGCTCACGACGTGCCTCGTAGTGACTATCGGCACCCGAGTCCAAGATACGCGTAAAGCCGCGCGCAGCGATGCGCGCGTCCTCGACCTTCCGGAAGTCTGTGGACACGTTGAAGGCAAACTGCGGCGTCGCTGACGCAGCGTTCGCCGAGCCTCCCCCTTTGCCGCGTCGCCCGCGCGGACCCTTCTTTCCGCCGCCGTCGCGACCATCCTTCGGCTTTCCGTCCCGAGGTGGGAGCGGAACACCTTCCTTGCCACTGCCCTTCCCGCGACAGTCGATCGCGAAATGCCCCTTCTTGCCGCAGTTGTGGCAGATGGAGTCGCGAGTGGCGGCAAAAGCGCCGCTCGCGGTAGTGGACGAGGAGGAGATGAGGGTGGTGTCGTCGCGTGCGACGTCGCGGATGGCGGTTTCGAGGAACGTCGCCGTGACAGGGACCTTTGCGCCGTTGGCAGCGGCGATGGCGGCGCGTATAGCAGCACGCCAGGAGTCGGGGAGAAGGCGGAGGATAATGGACTTGAGTTCGGCGTCCGAGATGGCACCGCCGGCAGACGCGTGCTGGGCCTGGAGGTTCGCGAGCTCATCGAGCTTAAGCCGGGGGTCCGCGCCTTCTTCGCAGCGCAGGGCGTGCATCTTGTCGAGGTAGCTCAGCGCGTGAAGATCACCCTGGTTCTCGAACAACGCAACGAGCGTGTCCCAGGATTCCTGCGCGGTCGTCAGCGACAGAATCTTGATCTTCAGTGTCTCGTGGATGGTGGAGAAGAGCATCGTCCGGACTTTGGAGTTTGCCTGGACCCATGCATCGTACTTCGTGTCCCAGGCCTCCAGATCCTTGTTGTACTGATCTGTCTCCTTCTGGGTGGCGTTCGCGCCAAGGGGGGAAGGCTTGACAGGCTGGATGGCACGACCGTCGATGTAGCGCAAGTGCCCTTTGGCCGAAATGGCCTCACGCAGCTCTGGTTTCCACGTCGCGAAATTCTCTCCGTCGCGCGCCAGCTTGGTCACGCGGGTGAGGGTGCGGTCGTGGTCCTCGAGGCTAAGGGACTGCAGCATACTCGTAAGGTCGCCAGGGCTCATAACCTGTTAAGATCAGATCACGGCGGAGCTAGATAATAGGTATTAGCGCTTCGCTCTGAGGGAGAATAGGGCAAGAGCCTGGTATATTGGATGTACCTAGATAATAGGTATTACTACGGTACATTAGCAAGGGAAACTACAGGGAATATAGAGGGTGACTCACGCGCTTCGCTCTGAGGGAGAATAGGGCAAGAGCGAAGCGCGGTTACAACACGAGACGGTATTTACGGATGATCGACAGTCCATACCGACCCCGAACAAAGATGGGTACGACGAGGTGTCACTGCGCCGGCTTGCCGCGGCGGCGTCGCCGCTCAAATCCTAACAAACTCCTACTGTGTGCACATATAACATACATCAGCTATACTTAATTTCACCATACTATTGATACCTGCTTGACTTTAGCAACACTGAACATCCGTATAAGAATGACTTAGTTTATCTTATTCCATATGCACAGCCACAAATGAATTTGGATGAAAAATGAAATCCGATGAAAATATTTGCACTGCCACGATGCCCTGTTAGCGGTCCTACTGCATGAATCTGGATGAATTTGGGTGAAACTGAATGATCTTGAGTGATTTCAGATGATTTTCAGTGATTTTGGATGAAAACGAATGAACGGCAATGAAAACGAGTGAAAAGTCCCAAAAGCCGCCATTATTGTCCGATACGGCCCGGGAAACTGCACTCTCGTAATAATGCCAAGTTGACCTCGAGCGCCTTTGAACATAGGTATCTTAGCCGTACGAGGAACAGCGGTATAAACGCGTACGAGGAGCGCCAGGGGCTTACGCAGCATCAGTAAACGGGTAGTAAAGGAGGTCCTTGCTGCTCCCTGTGATCACTTCGTTGCCTCCAGTAATTCCCAGGACCTGGTACTGCGTCCCCATACCCGACTGATCTATAAGTCTTCGCGCCGCCTTCTCGATCTCTGCCTTCCTCTCCTCGCTTTTGGCGCTCCGCTTGAGCTGCTCTACGCGCATGTTGATGCCCATGCGCTTGAGGAAGGCGTGTTGAGGGAGCGGACCATGAGCCAAGCCTGTTGCACCAACGCGACATGTTCATCAGGGAGTCAGAGGTAAACGGTGGAGCAGCGCAAAGGAACGTACCGGCGTCAGCCAGAGCTTCTTTGAGGTAGGCGAAGTCAACATTGACAGTGAGATCGCATTCTCCCGGTCGGTGGAACACGTCTACGATCTTGTGGTTCTTGAAGGCCTGATGGATAGGGATAGTCAGCGCTTGCCCCGAAAATGAACCGAGAAAAACTCTATTACCCGGAAAGAGTTTCCGAAAGCCTTGTCTCCACCGTAGTCAATCACGAGCGCGCACCCGGCGCTTTCCTTGTCATTCGCCTGCGATGTGAGCAGCTGTCCAAGCTTGTGCGCGATCTTAAACGCGGCAGGGGAAACCTCCAGTTGGCTGCCTTCTGGCAGAGCAGCGAACCGCGACGAGGAACCGCCAAGCACCGTCGCTGTCGGAGAAGGTGTCGGCGCAAGAACTCGTCTCAAAGGAGAAGCCGATGCTTGACCCGTGGCGAGGGTGGACGGAAGCGGGGATTCGCTAGGGCCATCGGCGGAGAGTGGGGTAGAGATAGATAGGCGCGGAGAGAGGTGAGGGGCAAGTGCAGAGGTTCCCGCGGAGGATGGATTTAGCACGGATTGATTTGCTATGTCTCGAGAGATGTCTATATGGACTTCGTGCCAGCCTTGCGCGGTTTTCTGCAGTGCAAGTAATGTTAAGTGACGAGATATAACCTTGTATGAGATTAGCGGACCTGAAGTAGGTGAAAGGGCAGTGAGTCGAAGAACTCGTGAGCAATGACCATTGTGTAACTGGCATCGTCGTGCGGGATGTCGTCCAAGGAGTCGTGCCAGAAGACTTCTTTGCCTGTTCGACACATAGGTTCCAGTACTGTCTTTTGCATCGCACGCATATTGGGGCTCGTCTCCACGAGGTGTACTTCATGAAGCAACGCATTTATTTGTGGAAACGATGAGAAGATCTGCAACAAAAGTGGATTAAAGCAGGAGAGCATGAGCGTCGAAGAGGCGCTCACTCGTAGAATGTCAGACATGAGCGTTCCACGACCTGGCCCAAGTTCAACAAGCCGCACCCGGCGCCCTCGTCCTGCAATGTTATACTGCGACAAGAACCAGATGCCAGTGAGCTGTTTGGACGGTCACGCCTGCAAGTTGTCACTCATTCCATCGCAAGTGCATCATTGCTGAGGGCGAGCGTACCTCGCCGAAAACCTGACTTATTTCGGGACTGGTCACGAAGTCGCCCGCCTTTCCAAACACAGGATTCGACTTCTTCATGTAGTAACCTTCCGTTGGATGCGACAAGCATAGCTGCATGTACGTCGCGAAAGAGATCGGTCCAGTGGCCTATATGGAAGTTGAGACCATTTAGATCACAAATCAAAAGGTAATGCAGCAACCTTGATCGTATCTCGTATAATCTTTTCAACGGGTGTAACCGCCTGGGTCGTAAGACGTCTTCGACATCCCAAACTGGGAGCCACTCGAGGGGCGAGACGGGGGCATTGGTGGGCCAACCGTGAAAAGCGTCGCCATGATACTGCGCGTGCAAGGTGCATGATATTATCACCCAAGATTGATCACGTAGGTGTAAACTGGCAAGGAGACGAGTCCTAGCGCTGGGGTAGTGCGTCTGGCCTAGCAAGGGACGGGGGACTTTGCACGTGACCGTGAAACAGAGGCTAAAGCTCTGCAGCCTTCGTTTTACTGGTCAACGACGCCCCCAGAGCCATACCTATTAGTAGAAAGCATTTTTTTTTTTTGGCAACTACTCGGGATGATTGACTACATATGAGACGAGAAATTGTTCGGTACGAATGGGGAAGGTCGCGCACCGTTGTGGCTGTGCGATCACGTCGATCATGTCGACGCTCACGGAGTCCGTCGCGTCCGCTCTGCTCCAACGGATACAGCAGCGCGTCTCGTCCGTAGAATGTGTATGGGCCTCGCACAATCGATGGCCTCTCCCTTTATCCAACAAGCATCTGCCCAGTCGTCTCCTCCGCATATCCGTCCTTGACTCGTCCTTCAATCCGCCCACCCTCGCCCATCTCGCGCTCGCAAACGCGCGCCCTTTGCCTGCGAGCTCGTCTATTGCTGCGGCTAGTAGCTCCGAGAATATGAATGACCAGAGGAATCCCATCGCCGACTTTGACGCCCGCCTTCTATTGCTCTCTGTGCGCAACGCGGACAAGTCGCTCAAGCCGTGGGATGCGACCCTCGTCCAGCGCCTTGAGATGATGGTTCTCCTCGCCGAACACGTCCATCCCTGCGAGGGCGGGTCGGCCAATACCGCGGTGGCCATTGTGGACGAGCCCACCTTCGTAGGCAAATCGCGCGTTTTGCGAAGATGGCTATCGGATCGACTGGCACGCCTATCAGAAGATTTGGGGCCGACTATAGCGGTGCCAAAGCCCCAGCTGACGTTCATCGTCGGTTTGGACACGTTGGAGAGGCTCCTCGCTCCACGTTACTACAGGACAGAGGAAGCCATGATGACCGCTCTTCGGGCGTTTCTTTCCCCAACGGGTGACGATTCGTTCGTCGTTTGTGCTCGACGAGTTGTCGCAGGATCACAAATCCTCAGCGATGAGCAACAGGAGCGAGAGCAAGCGACGATGGCAGCGGCGAAGGAGTTCCTCGAATCTGGTAGGATCGGGCTCATAGATATCGGCGTCGACGAACAAACGTTCAGTTCTAGTGAAGTGCGGGATAAGGTTGCAAGGGGGGATTCGTCATGGCAAAACATGATACCCAGAAACATAGCCAACTACCTCATCACTCATAAACTGTACGAGCATGTCATGTAACACCCTGTTCGATGCGACAATTTCCATTATTCTATTCGTGATGTATCCATACATTGACAGCAACGTGAAAAGCGTATAACGAAGCAACCGTGAGCAACCTGTGTAGAATACCAAGATGAAAATCCATGCGTGTAGTGTTATAATGCGTCTAATTCGTAACAGCTTGAGCGAATGCGATAGCGACAGTCTGCGGGAAGCGAATGTCAGCCATTGTTAAATCTGGGACCAATGTGGTCACTCACTTCGGAGTGGCTCAGCGAAATGTGGATCTTCGCGACGTTCTTCGCGTCGGCGGCAGCCTTGGCCTCACCGTGGAGAACGACGGTTGGCACGCCCGCCTCATTGGGAAGAATTTCGATGTCCTTCATCCCCGCAGCGGCTCCTTTCGAGGCGACGCCGAGCGACTTGAACACGGCCTCTTTACCAGCCCATCGAGCAGCGAAGGATGCGTCGGGCGCGGGCTGCGAGCGGCAGTAGGCGACTTCAGCGTCGGTGAAATTGCGAGAGACGAAAGTGGGGTTCGAGGAGGGGACGGCGGAGATCAGCTCTGTGGTCGATATTAGCACCGAGTCCTGCGTGTATAGCGGAGAGAACGCACCTTGGTCTACACCCACACCCGCAACAGACCCAGTGGCTTCCAACAGCTTCTCGACAGCCTTGACGTTGGCGGTATCGTACTTTGGCTCTTTCTGCAGCTTGGCCGGGAAGACATAACTGCCCGTCTTCGGGTCGAGGGACGCGCGGGCAAGTGGGTTGAGCAATACGGGGGCCTCGAGCTCCTTCGTGTACGGCGGTGCCTCCTTGATCTTGACAAGAGAGTTCGTGATCATCATCTCACTCATAGCCTTGTACGAGAGCAGAGCGCGCTCGCGGTTGCGAGCCTTGTAAGCGCTATATTGCTCCGGCTTGAGCGCGGCGAACAGGTAGCGTGGGTGCAGGACGAGCGCCGTGCCACCAACTTGGCCGAAACCGAAGGATGACATGACACCACAGCGAATGCCGTCGGTGTGGATCGACTTCGACGGGAACATGAGCATGCGGCGTTCCTCAAACAAGGCGTCGATGTTGTCTGCATTGCGATTGCCAGGAACGACGCCGGTGATGACGGACTGCAAGAGACCGGCGAGCTGCCACGCGGCCGAACCTCCCTTCGAGTGGCCGACGAGACTCTTCTGCGCCATGACGGGGACAGCGTTGCCCCTGCTGCGTCCAATGGTGGTGAAGATATCGTTCCAGATGTGGGTCTCATTCTTCTCATTGGCGCCGGTGCTGGTGCCGTGAATGGACAGAACGCCTACATCGTCCGCAGTGAGACCCCATACAGCGAGGGCACGACGAAGAGGGGCGACTTCGGGAGATGCTCCTTGGAGCATACCGAAGGTCGCCATGGCATCCTTCTCCTGGCGAGCCGCATCTTGCTCGATGTGGGCGACACGAGCCGCGATGTACTCTTCGTCTACGGCCTCGCCCTGAGCCCGGCGGGATTCCACCTCTTCACGAAGCTCCTCCTGCTCATGCTCGAGCCATTGTGAGATTTGCCTGCGACGGAAGGCGAGCTGACGAGCCCGATAGTCGAGGTTCAGACGAAGTGATGGCTGCTTAGATGGCACCTCCCTCGCGACAGTGAGCGCGCCACGACCAGGAGCGGGAACAGACCGCCCGGCCTTGTCCGTAGACGTTGAGGTGAAGCCGACGATTCCCCTGATCGGGGCACCAAGTTCCAAGGCCGTCTTGGCGGTCATCACAACATGCACACCGGTCCCTTGGGCTTCCATGAAGCCGGATCGAGTCGTAGTGGTGGGGCGCGACATCTCGGTCGGTTCACGGCCCATGGCGAACTCCGTTTCCGCGTTGGACGTCGCCTTCATGTTCGCGAACTCGTACGAGCCCTCCTCGCTGAGATCGTCGTAGCCTCCGGCCAACATCACCTTCGCCTTGCCTGAGAGCAAGGTGTCGCAGGCAATCTCGAGCGATTGCAGAGCGGTGGCGCTAAAATCGTTGTGAATATACGCTTAGACGACAGAGAATGGCTGCATACCATGCGCCGACCGGGATCTTGATAGGGCCACTGGAGGAAAGTAAGAGAAGGTTGACCCAGCCAGCAACCGTATTGATGAACCTAAGAGCGGATATGATCAGCAAGTAAGCTATGAATGCAAAGAGCGACTCACGTCTCTTGGAGGATGTCGTTCTGCACCTCCTTCTCCTCACGACGATCCGTGAACATCTTTGACAAACTCTCCATTCCACCCATGCCACTGCCTATGCTCGAGCCGACTTCGGAGGGGTGCACGTGCTTGTATAGCTCGTACGGGTCCGTGATACCGGACATGTTGAGGGCCTCGGCGACAGAGACCAGAGCCCAAAGCGTCGACCGGTCGACCTGTGCAACGATGTCGTCGGGAATGCCGTAGCGACCAGCGTTCCACCCCGTAGGGATCTGTCCGGCGACCGTGCGGCTGAACTTCGCAGCCTTCGGCACGAGGATTCGCGCACCCTTCTTGAGCTTGGCGAACCATTGGTCCCCATCGGCAGCCCAGATATCGCACTTATCGCCGTGTTCGTGCTTGAATTTCTCTGCTTCCACTTGAGAGACCTCTAAAGGCTCGAGATCGTGCGTAAGCTCAATCTCTTGCCTGAAGACTTTCTTCTTCGGATCATAGCCACGGAAGAGCTCAGGCTCTGCAAAGTCCGTCAGTAATGGGTATCCCTGTATGCGACCTCGTACATACCGATGAGGCGAACACCGGCGTGTTTGAGGATATCTTGTTCGTACTTTCCGCGTACGTCCTTATCGTCCACCGGTTCGCCGGTCTTCGCGTCTACCCATCCAACGTGGAGTGTGCCATCCTTGAGGCGGCCATCGAAGTGCTTGATGTAGCCCATCATCCACGCCATTTCGATGCAACCTTCGATAGTGAGTTCGCCTCGAGCCTCCATCTCCCACCGCGTGCGCGAGCTGCCCCAAGGACCGACTTCAGCGAAGCCGGTGATGACAACGACCTGGTCGAGGTCGATAAGACCCTGCAGTTTGGAAAGGTTGGCGAGTGATTCCGGCGATTCCAAATTGGGGAACTCGAAGCGGAAGTTGGCTCGCGGGGTGACGTTCAGCGTCTGAAGAACGCGTTCAGCCTCCGTGCCGTTGGTGACCTTGAAGTCGGCAGCGTTGTCGCGGGCGATTGCTCGGCGAAGCTCGCTCTTCTTCTGGATCGTTTGGCGGACACGGGTGGTAATGTCGGCGAGATCAGGTAGACGGTCCATACCGCCGTTGAGATCGGCCCAGATGGGTTCGACCTGGGTAATACTGAACAAAAGCGGGTGCATCAGGCCGAGGATATTGAACGCCATCTCCTTTGACGAGAACGTCCGGACGCCGTAGCTCTCGATATCCTGCGCGACCATATTTGTCGCGGCCATAAGCGCGGTGCCGCGCGTCCATCTAGAAGTTGCAAATAAGCGAAGAGCACAAGACTGTTATACAAAACACGTACCCGATAACTGCACCTGCCAGGCAGAGGTATTCGCCCCAGCTCTCGGACGCCCACCGATTGAACAGGGTCTCGAGGGAAATCTTCGATTCGGAGTACAGGCCATCGTTACCGAACAAGCCATGGTTGGGCGACAAGGGAAGGATGACTTGGGTGGGGCGAGTGACGATGCGGCGGCTGGCTTTCTTCGTCTTAACAGCGCCGAGAATGCGAAGTAGGTTCACGAGCATGATGCGGTGAGCCAGTTCCGACCTATCGTCAAGGCCGTCGATTTCACGTCCGTTCTCCGGGATGGCGGCGAAGGGCAAGATGTAGTCGAGGTCCAGGCCCATGGTGTCGTAGACATAGTCGACGAGGGCCTCGACGTCTTGCTTAGATCCCTGGTTGAATGGCACCACAGTCAGCGCGGAACCGCGGCTACCGTGCACCTGGAAGATGCCCTGGTAATACTCGACAGTGGAGCGGTTGTAGCGGGAGGTGGTGATGACGACGTGAGCGCCACCGGAGAGTAGGCCTTTGACAATCTCTACTCCAATCGAATCCTTGCCGACGCCGGTCAGGAGCGCGTTCTTGTCCTTGAATGTTGTGCCCGATGTCGCGATTTCATGGAGGACGTCCAGATACACGCCGGTGAGGTTGCTGCTATACTCCCAGCTCGTGCCGACCTTGCGCTTCAAGTGCAGCAAGGGAATCTTGTCCGCGGAGACCGACGTGACGCCAGAGATCTGAGGGCGGAGGAACTGAGACGACGCGCGACGCTTGCGAGGAGCGGCAGGTCGAGGGCGGGGTGGCTCGGCGGGCTTCTTGAGAGACTTGACGACGCCCTCGTACAGAGCCTTGATCCTGTTCTTCTGCTCCTCGCTGATCTCGGGTTGTGACTTGACCACATTCCAGAGCTTGAGGACGTCTTCGTGCACCTTATTGATGTTGACGTTGCCGTGCACTGCGTCACCGCTGGACATCTCCTCAACGTAAGCCTCCAGCTTGCGAACGTTCTCTCGGTTGACTTCGGAGTAGACGATATCGCCCTTCTCTGTCACTTCCGTCCGGGGCGCGGTGGGGAACGTCACTGCAAAAAGATATGAGCGATGTGTAATGAACGCGATACGGCGGATCTCACCGTCTTTATAGAGCGGGGGGTGTCCGACGACTTCTTTGCAGTTGTCGATAAGCTGTTGACCAAACTCCTTCGCGAGCTTGTATGTAGCGCCCTTCGTTGGGTCGCAGCGATCGATGTAGAACTGCATGTACTCCACCAGAGCGGGGTCCGCACGGTTCATGATAGCGATGCAGCGCGCCGTGATTTCGCGATCAACAGTGGTGAGACGCCCGAAGATGATATCGTAGAACATGAGCAGAGCATCTTGACGAACCCAGTTCCAAGCGGAGTCGAAATGGCGAGCCTTGAGCGGATCGAAGACGGGTTGGATACCATCGATGTACGAGTCGCCGTGCTCCTTGGCGATGCTATCCAATTTGGCTTGCAAAGCCGCAACGGTCGCCTTCTCCTTGTCATAAGCGAGTTCGCCAGCACGCGAGTCCTTCTTTAGGTAACGCATAAAGAGCTCGATCTGCTGACCAACGAACTGCTCTTGCTCTGCCTGGAACTTCAGGAACTCCTCGCTGTTGATAACAGCGCCGCCTCCTCCGCCTCCACCAGCGCCGGCAGCAGCACCAGAAGACAGGCTGATGCCCGATCGTTGAGCGTAGGCCGCGACGACGCTATCGAGCCATGCCTTGCCCTCCGCCTCCGATCCGAGACGCTTCGGAGGTTCCATCGTTGTCCCAAGCAACAGAACGCCGTCGGCACGAGAGGGTCCCAGGCCCCAAGATTTCGAGAGGTATGACTTGATCGCAGAAATGTTGAAACCGCCAGGCATCTTCCCACCGACAAGACGGGAAACGAGGCCGGAGGTGTATTTGCCCAAGCCGCCAGTGCCGGTCAAAGACGAACCAAGTTCTTCGAGGGGCAGCTCCTCACCCTTCTCCGGCGCCGATGAAAATTCGAGTTGTAGGTCGCCGAGAATCTCGTTCTGCAACGTCGATTTACCGCCCACCAGGTCCTTGATCGACTTCGACAAAGGTACCTCGTCCGCCTTCTTCTTGAGCTTCTGCGCGACGATCACGGTGAGGATTTCGATCGGCTTGATGGGAACATCTTCTACGCTGGCAGCAGCAGCCGCAGGAGCAGGGGCGGCTGCAGCAGCGACAGGCGTGGCGGCTGCTGCCACGGGAGCCTCTGCAGGGGTTTCCTCCGTAGACTCCGCAGCTTCCTCCGGAGCGTCTTCGAATTGATAGTATATCTCCTTGGTATGCTTAGCGTGGCAAAGGATAGTACGGCGACGGCCATGCGAGTCATCCTGGCTCTCGTATTTCGCCTTCAGAGTGCGCGAAACCATGCCCGTGAGCGTCGGCGAGGGACCGATCTCGATGAAGCGATCGAAGTCGTAGCGGGTGAACAGGATGTCCTGAGTCTCGATCCATCGGACGGGCGATGCAAACTGGTAGGCCAGGAGCTCGACGAGGATCGTGTAGGCAAGCTTCTGGCGCTGGTCCGGCGCGGCCCACTGTTCTTCTTCCCAGTTCCGCAGGACTTTGTCGAGACGAGGCGAGGACGTCTGATCGTAGATGATCTGCGCGTACTCGCGAGAGACTTCGAAGGGCTTGGCAATCAGATTGGGGACGTATTTGCCGATGAGCATGTCGGGATTCAGGTGAGCAGCGTTGATCTTCTTGGACAGATCTGTCACGTAAAGGCGTCGTCAGCGTAGTTCAAGCGAATGCAGCATTGCAGGCTTACATGCACGGAACGGCATAACACCGGCCCACAGGTAACGCGAGTGGAATGGCACATCAATGCCAGGAAGCGGGATTGTCGCTAACCCACGCTCGAGCGTAATATAGCCCTCGGCCTTCTGCAGCTCCTGCGAGCGCTGGTAGCACGAGTCGATAATCTCCGCCAGCATCTCCTTGACCTTCTCGATGCTCAGCTGCTCCGTCAACTGCGTGCAGCGTTAAGCAAGAGAACAACGATATCCAGAAGAGACGCAGCATACCTTCGCAATATCAACCTTCTGGACCTTCAGGTAGTTGAGCACGTTAGTGAGCGTCTGCAGCGCAATCAGCTCGCCAGCAGTGACATATTGTTGACCCTATGATCTCAAGTGAGCAGAGTGACAACACCGCGAAGTCCGCGAGCCGTACCTCGACGTTGTAATTGACGATTTCAAGAAGACAGCCAGTGCGATGCGCGATCGCGTCAACAACCTCACGCAAAGCGGCATCTGAGAACGAAGGCGATATCCTGCTCGGGTTAACCGCGCACATAGCGTAGTTGGAGCGGTTGTGCTCGTCGCGTTCCACAGCGCGCTGCATAGTGATACCACGGTAGAAGACGACGTCGACGAGAGATGAGATCGGAAGAACGTCGGCAATGGACGCGAGCGCGGAGTACTCGCCGAGCGAGTGACCGGCAAACGCGCAGTCAGGCTGCACGAATCCCTTCGCACGCATACACTCAAACGCCGCCTTCTCCACCACGACGAGCGCGATCTGAGCGAACTGAGTAGCGAAGAGGAGACCGTTGGGGTGGCTGAACGTGTACTGAGGCGAACGAATGTTGATGTCTCCGAATAACGGGAGCGTCCGAATGTTGCCATCACGATCCATTGTGTCGTAGGTCATCTCCATGTAACGTTGGCGGATAGCCTGGCCCTTGAGACCACCGAAGTGCACCGTCTTCTCCTTGGGGTTGTTCTTGACGATATCGATGATCGAGAACCCGTAAACGGTGGTGAGATGGGCGTCGGCAGCGTCCCACACAGCCCTAGCAGCTGGCGAGGTGTTGTAAAGCTCCATGCCCATGCCCGGCTCCTGCGAGCCCTGGCCAGTGAAGACGTAAACAGTGGTAGGCTGCGCGACCTCGGCGGAGCCGTCGAGGACCTTGTCCCCGCGCTGGTTGAAGGTCTCAACCTTGATCGCCATGTTGCCTTTCCTCATCCCGATGTGGCGGAGCTTGACATTGAGCTCGTCCCCGGGGAGGACCATCCCCACAAAGGCGACCTCGTACCTTGAGGCAATGTCAGTAATCAGTAGGTGAGGAACGAATGGTGAAGACTTACGACTTGACGCGGTCTGGGTTGCCTTGAGCGACGATCGTCTCGACATAGCGGCGAGTGGCCGCGCTCGACCACATGCCGTGCGTTATGGTACCAGGAAGAGAGGCGTAGTTCGAGAAGTATGGGTTGATATGGATCGGGTTAAAGTCGCCGGACACCTTGGAGTAGGGTTCGTTGGTCGACGGAGTGACGAAGGTCGCCGGCTCGTTGGACAGCGAGTAACCATCGTTTGGCAGAGGGGAGAGCAAGCCCTGCGGCTTGCCGTGACGCTGCAGGTAAGCCAGAACCGGATTGCCGTGGCAGTCCTCTTGGTCGAAGTCGACGGTGCCGACCTTGACGAGGCGCTTCAACTGGTCGCGGACGAAAACGTCACCTGTGACGGTCAGCGAGCGGTACGAGCTCTTGCTCTTGAATGATATCTCGGACTTGATGCGGAAGATAAGCCCGGTACCAGCTTGAAGGGGCTTGGTGTCATCGTCCCATTCGAACCACTCCTTGCTCTGGATAACGCCGACCGCCGCGTCGTTGGGGATCTCCACGAGATAATCGGGTTCTTCGGTGGTCTCGAAGGTATTCTCGTAATCGGTGAACCGTCCACGGTAGAGGAAGGACGACACGACCTCGACGACGGGCTTGCCCTGGCTGTAAACATGACCTTTGACCTTCACCGTCTTGCCGGCATCGCCGTTGACGACGGAAACAATCTTCGCCTCGGCCCTGCAGATATCGCCTGCTTTGAGCGGCTTCGCGCCGTCGACGATCTTGAATCCGTTGGTCAGATGGACGAGCTTTAGCAGGTCGCCATCGATAGATGCAGGGAAGATCGACTTCATGATAGCCTAGAATCGCGCACTCAGCTCCCGCCTGATCACATGAAAACATATGGATGACATACCTGCCAGCCTGTAACGATGGCGAAGTCCATGGGAGCCTTGACGACTTCGGTCCGGGTGGTCTTGAACGCCTCGCCCTGGTTACCAACAACGGCGCAGAAGGTCTCGATGTCTGACGCCTCGATGCGAACCTCAGGACCGACGAAAGTCTCGTGCACGTCGAGCGCAGGCAGAGTGGAATCATCGCCGAACCAAAGCTTCCAGTAAAACTCCTTGATACGCTGGTTGCGGCCCTCGGCGACCTCGCGTATGGGAGCGTAGCCGGTCTCGGGGGTGTACTTAAACTGAAGCAACAGCGGCACGGAAGCGTCGCGACGATCCTCGAAGATCGTCAGGTTGATAAGCCGCTGCGCGGCGTCGTACTTGACGTCCACGGCCTCGAACGCAGGCTTGTGAACACCCTCGGAACGGGCGGCACCGAACAGCTTGACGCCGATCGGCGAGCCGCCGCTGAGCCGGATAACTGCCTTCTGGCCCGCACGAGGCGCGAACAGGCGGCGGACGGGGTTGTCGATGTAGGACGTGCCCTGAACGACGGTCGTCGAGGCGAGGAACGCGCGAAGCCATGAGAGCTTGTGACCTGCAAGGGCTTCAAGCCAGGCCTCTGTCGACGGAACGTCCGACCCGATGCTGAAGGACACTGAGTTCTCATCTCGTGTGGCGTTAACGCCCGCAGGGAATGAAGCAACAGCAGGCGCAGAACCAAGGTAGTCGACGGTGGGAATCTTGCTCTTGTCGCCGGCGTATTGGCGCTCAACGAGTTTGTCAACGAGCAATGAGGTGATATTGTCGAGCATGTCCTTGATAGGCTCGTCCTTAATGGTAGCGTGCTTCGCCGCAACGGGACCTTGCAGGATGCAAACACGCTGCGGGTCTTGGTCGAAGACTGCCTCGATGTCCTCCGCGGCCCAGAGCGAATCCTGAAACCACCGTCAGACATGGTGATCAGAACACAAACGAGAAAGACGCACCTTTTTGAACCAGACTTCGAATGACGCGTCCAATACGGGAATAAACGGAACGGGCTTCTGGCCAGGACGCTGGCAGATCGTGAGGAAGTACGCCTTATCCTCCGCTGCCAGCAGCTGCTCCTTGGCGAGCGGGTACAGGTTGAGGAACTTCTCGATGAACGGCAGCGGCTCGTCGAGCGACGTGAAGGATTGCAACATGCTCGGCTTCGGCTTCCCACCGTTCACGCCCGCAAACCGCTCCTCCGTGCGTCTCAGCCAGTCGCCGGTGAGATTCCGCAGCGAGGTATCGATCCATCGTCCCTCATGCGCGACGTACATCAAGCGCACCATGCGCAGCAGCACCTCCTCGTAAGTCATATCGGCGATGTCCTCGGCGACCACGTCACCCTTCTTCCACCCAAACCACGGCTTGGCAAAGTCTCTGTTAAGCTTCGCGATGACTTCCGACTTGCGCTCCTTGAGCCAGACGATGCGCTTCTCCTTCGGCAGCTTGAAGACGGTCTCGTCGAACTCCTTCCAGAGCTTCACGCCCCGCGTCGCAACCTTGTGGATCGGTTCGCCGAGCTCAGACTGGACGGTGAGGATACCGCCCGTCTCCTTCGCGTACGTGCCCTCCCACTGCGCGTCGTCCACGCCGGAGGCGGCGACGATGAGGTCCTTGACGGACGGGCTGGTGTGTGCCTCCTTGGCGACCATGACGCGAGACGCGAACAGGAAGCCGTCGAACGGCATCGGCTGCGCGCCGAACTTCTCCACAGACCACTCGCCGGTAAGGTAGGGCCAGACGTCGTCGGCGCCGCCGAAGCCAGAGCCACCAACGAGAACAATGTTAGGCTGCTGACGGATAGAGCCGTAGGTCGACAGGATGGGCTGGTGGAAGTCTTCGCACGAGTGGTGGCCACCGGCGCGTCCTCCGGTCCACTGCATGATAACGGGGAAGTCGGGGTTGGCCGCGGCGATGCTGACGACTTGACGGATGCCATCCACTGAACCGGGCTTGAAGCTGACGTGGCGAATGCCGGCGCTGCGGAGGCCCTCGATGATCTCGCCCGCCTTCTCAGTGGTCGGAATACCGGCCGCGACGCAGAAGCCTTCGATGGGAAGGCCCTCGCGGCGCATCTCCTGCCATAGCGGGAACTGGAACGTGAACTGGCGCGGGTTGATGTACAGCGCGTTCAGCGTGAGCCCGACCCCCGGCGGGATCTTGGTCTGGATCTCGGCGACCTTGGCGCGCAGCGCGGCGGGGTTGTAGTGTCCGCCGCCGGCGAGTTCGACATGGTACCCCGCGGAAAGCACTGCGGAGACGAAGCCGGCCTTGACGGTCGTCGGCGTCATGCCCGCCACCATGATCGGGGGCTTGCCCAAGAGGCGAGAGAACGGTGTGTCGAGGTGCACCGTGCCGTCGCTGCGCTTTCTTCAGCAAATCGTTACGCAAACGGACGATAGATGCTCACCTAGTCTTGACGAGGCGCGGGGCCCACTTCTTGCTCCACCACTGCTCATACTTGACTTCTTGCGAATTGTACAGCTCGGCGCCGTTCTTGCCCTTGTCGCCCACGACAACGACACGCACTCCGCGACCTTCGAGGAGACGCGCGGTCAACGGGCCGATGCCGCTCAGCCCACCGGGACCGAAGTCAACCGCGTGGGTTGCAGATTCGGGGAAGGCGGTAGCCTTAGCCCAGTGGATGGGCATGGTGAAGATCTGTTCGCAGAGAGAGCCGGTGATGCCGGTCGAAAGCTTGCGGAGGTCGGATCCTGGACATGTCATCAGCGATAATCATGAGACTGGCAGAATATATGCGTACCGTCTTCTGTGTGGTATACCGGAATGCCGAGCTCCTCCCCTTTCCACAACTCCTCTCCCTTCAGATCCTGCTCGAGCATCTTCTCGATACCGTCCTTGAGGTACGGGCTGTGGTAGGGCACGCCGACGACCAAGAAGCGAACGCTGAACACGGGCTTGCGCTTCGAGAACGGGATCTTGCTCTGGTCGAGCCCGCTTGGGGCGCGAACCTTCCTGAGGGCCGTGACGAGGCCGTAGAGGGCCTTCGGCGGGCCGGTGACGACGAACGCACGAGGGCCATTGTGGAGCGAGACGCCTAGCTGGGAGCGCTCGTCGAGGTGCTTGTTCGTACCTGCGATGTGCTTCTCGAGATCCTTGAGGGAAAGGCCGGTGACGGCCAACATGGGCGAAGGCGAGCCCTCGCCGCCTTCGACCGCGTCCTGGACGATGGCCGGCTCGAGCGCCAGCACGGGGAAGGCTTCTTGACCGCGGAGACCGCAGAAGAAGAGCCAGCGCAACGCCTTCTTCGCGTTGGCGAGGAAAGATGTGGGCGAGTCCGAAGCAGCTATAGCAACTGCAGACACGACGCCCTGAGAGTGGCCGGTGGCACCGGCGAAGCGAGCGCGCATGTCGGCGGGAGAGAGCGCGAGCACGCGGCAGGCGACGAGATATTGGGTAAGTTGCGTGAGCCCGATAAGCGGGAGGGAGAGGGGGACGGAGGCCAAGTAGGCTGTCGGAGGGCGCAGTGAGGCACCGGAGAGCCAGGACGCCACGTCCAGGCCGTGCGCGTAGAACGCGGTCGATGTATTCGCAGCAGCGAGGGGTGCGAGCACCTCGCGTGTGACGGTGGTGAGGAACGGCGCGACCCATGCGGTGTAGGTGTCGTGGAGCGCCTGGAGCTCGTCAAAGTAGACTTCATTGGTGCCCTGACCGCCGAAGAGGGCGTAGAGCTCGGTGTTGGAGGCACTCAGGAGTGCCGAGGGCGGTCCGCGAGGGACGTCTTCGATGTTGGCGGCTTCGAGGGCTGCGAGGGCCGCGTAGTAGCTTGCGAGAACGGTCTTGCGCGCGTCCGTGTCGAACGCGGCGACGAGGGTGTGGATGTCCTGCGTGTGCAGGTGTGTCTTGGTGAAGTCGGAAAGCGCGGCCAGGAGGACGGCGGTGCGCGCGGCCTTGCTCTGGGAGCAGGCGTCTAGCTTGGAGGCGACGAAGCCGAGAAACTCGGCGTAGAGCTCGACGGCGGCGTCGGCGGCGTTTTCGAGTTCGGCCGTGGCGTCGACGGCGTCTTGCACGCTCTGGGTGTGCACAAACTCTTCTCTAAGGACTTCTGCGGCGATCCACTCGTCGTTGCGGGTGGACACGGGGATGGAAACCTGTGCTCGTCATCAGCATTGCGTTCTTGCCTGCACTGATTAAGTGACGATACGGACTCTAATGGGGCCTGAGGCCAGTACGAGGGGGCGCGACGCGATGCACGGGTCAGGCCCGGCATGTCCGTTGGGTGCGCTCATGGTGTCGTCGTGGTCGGTATCGAAGGACGACACGGACGGCGACGGAGCAGGAGGGGACGGGAGAAGAGCTGCAGCGTATGGCCCCAGTTCTTAGAGTCGAAACATTTGGGGAGCGGGCGCGCGTCTCGCGTAAAAACGCCTGCTTGCCTTTTACGGCAGGAGCCCCTGTCCCAGCCCCGCATGGCTAAATGGCGGGCACGCCGTTGGACGTTGCACCTTATCGTCCTCACTGGGGCTTATTGTAAGCGTATGATCATCATACGGTCCACCTGAGGTTGTCTGAGTGGGATTAGACTACGAGTATGGTCTACGAGACATAGTCGCCTCCGCGCGCCGCCCATTTGCTCCCACCCAACAGATAGTCGCGAATTCGTCTTCGCGTCGCCTTTGGGGATCAAAATGCGGCGTAGGACGTCTCCTACACGCACGACGGCAGGCGCAGCCCGGGTCCTTACGCAAAAGTAGTGGAATGTCGCCATGCGTCCCGCGCGTGGACTGGCTCGAGCCGACCGATTCGGGCTCCCGCGCGCCATGTGCACCTTCCGCCAGCCGTGAGCGCAGCGCCAGCGATCGTCTACAGCTACACGATCTCCACCATCACCGACGACGACGACGACGACGCCGCCTATGGCCTCCTCGCCGCCGTCCCAGCCGGTCAACATCGGCAGCCCCCGCGCGCGCCCCGCCTTCGCCGCCCCTTCTGGCACCCCTGGCGCAGGCACCCCCGCCTCACTGCGCGTCCCCTTCTACGGCACGCCGCCGCCCGTCGCCAACATCCCGCCCCGCTCTGGTACGCCGCGCAACGGTGGCACGCCCCGCGCCTCACCCGCCCTCCTCCCCAGCGCGACGTCCGAGTCCCCGCGCAGTTTGGGCGGCCTGAGCGCGAGCCGGCCTGTCGTGGGCACCCCCGGCAGCGGGGCCGGGGCGAGCGACCGTGAAACGATGCTCGACGAGTTGACGGAAGAGGAGAAAGCCCGCGTGCTGCGCAAGCACCTCGTCTCGCGCGAAGAGCGCGAGCAGGCCCTCGGCGGACCCAGCAGAAGCGACGCTGGTTCGGAGGGCGGGCGCTCGCGCCGCTCGTCGCACGCCGTACGCGAGGACTCGGAAGCGTTCCCCGTGCCCTATCATGCCCCCGGCGCGGACATCACACACACGCTCTACAAGTGGCAAGCCGACCAGCGTCGGAAGCAGCGCCCGCGCGCGGCCTCCTTCTCCGCCCAGTCCTCGACCTCGCGCGACCCCGCTTTCGAAAACATCCACGAGCCCGGCGGCTTCCGCCGTGCCTACGTCCTTCAGCGTGCCGGCGAAAACGGCGACAGGCCCCGCATGTTGCGCAACTTTGTCGAGTTCCTTTTCATCTTTGGCCACTTTGCCGGCGAGGACCTGGAAGAGATCGACGAAGAGGACGAGGGAGAAGAGGGACCTGCGGATGCGGAGCGGGCAGCGGGATATGAGACGTACGACGGCCCGTCGGCGGGGCTACCGGGCGAGACACCCAAACCCGACGAGCGCACGCCGCTCATGGGTCACAGACGGCCTAGGTCGAAAAGCATCGGCCCGCATGGGGACGCAACTGTCACCCAGGCCGTGCTTGTCCTCCTCAAGGGATTCGTCGGCACCGGTATCTTGTTCTTGGGCAGGGCGTGAGTGTATTTTTCTCGAGCCGACAGTGCTAGTTGACACTGTCACGCAGATTCTACAACGGCGGCATCCTCTTTTCCGCCTTTCTCCTCTCCTTTATCGCCCTCGTCTCTCTCTACTCTTTCCTTCTGCTTGTGAAAGCCAAATTCGTCGTTTCCGGCTCATTCGGCGATATCGGTGGCGCACTGTACGGTCCTTATATGCGCTACGCCATCCTCTCGTCCATCGTCATCTCCCAGCTTGGCTTCGTCTCTGCATACATCATCTTCGTCTCGGAGAACCTGCAGGCGTTCGTGGCCGCCGTCTCAGGATGCACACGCCTCGTCGGTCTGCCGTACTTCATCCTCCTTCAACTCGTCGTGTTCCTCCCGCTCGCGCTCATCCGCAACCTGGCGAAGCTGAGCACGACGGCGCTCGTCGCTGACGTGTTCATCGTCGCTGGGCTCATCTACATATTCGGCTCGGAGGCGATCATCATGGCTGAGCGCGGCCCCGCGCGTGTCGAGCTCTTCAACCCGCGCGACTTCCCTCTGCTCATCGGCACCGCCATCTTCTCGTTTGAAGGCATCGGGCTCGTCATTCCCGTCACGGACGCGATGAAGGAGCCTCGCAAGTTCCCGGCCGTGCTCACAGGTGTCATGATCGCCCTCATGTGTACGTTCGCCTCCCTCCCAAGTTTGCTCACGTGCTGATGTCATTCCCTGTAGTCCTCTTTGGCGGCGCAGGCGTCATGTCGTATCTCACCTTCGGCGCGGACGTGCAGACGGTGATCATGCTCAACCTTGACGACAGTCGGATGCTTCAGTCTGTGCAACTCCTGTACTCGCTCGCCATCATGCTCTCCGTCCCGCTCCAGCTCTTCCCCGCCGTGCGAATCATGGAGAACGGCCTCTTCGTCCGCTCCGGGCGCGACTCGGCGCGGGTAAAGTGGACGAAGAACGTGTTCCGGTTCGGCGTCGTCTTCACGTGTGCGTTCATCAGCTGGCTCGGGAGCAGCGACCTGGACAAGTTCGTCGCGTTCATCGGCAGTTTTGCATGGTACGTCTTCTCGAAACACTACGGAATGTAACGACAACTGACACTTGCGGTGGGGACGACAGTGTCCCGCTGTGCTACGTCTACCCCGCGATGCTCCATCTAAAAGCGTGCGCGCGCACGCGCCGGCAAAAGATCGCCGATTGGGTGCTCATCGTCTTCGGCATCGTCGCGGCAGTGTACTCGACCGCCCAAACCGTCAAGGTACGTCCCCACATCCTATCTGCGCCTATTTTCGCCTCACCGGCGTGTTCGCACAGCTCATGGTGGCACCCGCGGAGCCCGGCTCGCCTGTCGGTCGCTGCATCACTCCAACGGACTAATTCTCGGTGCCCGTACGTTTAGATCTAGAACATGTAGATCTACACTCGAACCCCCCTTTCTTGCTTGGGTCTGATTCCATTCGCCGCGGTATCTATGGCTAACTTCCTCAATCCGATATAATCGACCGATCAGAGACTCGTGCAGTTGTACAATATACAGTTCAATCCAATGCAATCGACCAATGGCAAATCGACGTGGAGCATGGGTCGAAGAGCGGGACGGCTTCATCTTGGAAGGCGTGGTGTTCATTTGCGAGTTGCATTCTGGGAGTAAGGAACGATGTAAGATTAAGGCGAAGCAGATCGCATCCACGTCGACATGTAGCATTTCTGACATGAGGAGGTCCTGCTCAGGAGTTCCATACGACTGGATCAGCCACGATGATGATTGTTGTGCACGCATTCCGGATTATACAAAGGAGATGTAGCGAGCATAGATCGTTCGCTGAGATCTGCAAGCTCAAACGCGATAGGACTCCGGAGTGACCTCGCTTCTCCAGTCTCCATCATCTTCGCAACATGTATGCCTTGAGGCCAACTTTAACCCCCCCTCCCGCAGGAAACCACGCACTGTCGCTCGATGCGAGTAACCTCCGAATCTGGTCCACCGCGCTTGTACCATGAGTGCGCTCCGTTATATGGTGCTGAAGGGCTGCCGTCCCTCCTCCAACTCTGGCCCTCTGGGCACAGACTCAGTTTCCCCATACCCGGACTAGACGCTATACCCCAGACGCTTGCTTGAACATGTTCCAGAGCAGTGCTCATCAGCGGGTGCGCAGGAAACCTCCACCGGACTTCCCCTTCTCGGTATGTCGCGCTGTTTACCATGTAACACACATACACCATACTGAGGGCCCGCGACGCAGGAGAAGTACCCGCCCTTCGATCCGACAGACCCCCTTGCGCCGCTCTCCGTCCTCAGAGACCGCACGCGGACGAGCAACGCTACGCCCGCACCCTCGGGCAATAGCTCCGAGAGCGACCTCTCGGTATGGCTCCGGCACCACGACGCCTCGCCGGGCTCCCTCCACCAGCGCGAGAAGGACTATGCCTCTGACCAGGACGTCCCGCTCCAGCGGCAGTCGCACTACTCGCACCGCAGGCGGTCGCAGTCCGTGCTCCTCCCGCCCGCGGCCCCCGTCGCAACGCCCGGGTCGGTAGGCTCCTCCTCGGACGGGCATGGACACGCGCCCGCGCAGCTTGACTACCTCACATACATCCGCCCTCCGCATCACCCGCACCACCTTCACCATCCACACCACCCGCTCGCGTTTAACCCGAGGCTGTCGGTCGTCCCTGGCTCGCCTGCTGTCCCTGGCTCGCCTCCGCCCGCGATGACGACGGACGACAGCAGCGGCAGCGCCGGCTCGCTGTACTCCCCACCGCGCACACACGACGCCCACGTTCACGCACATGCGCATGCAGTCGCCCACGAGGCCGAGCGCGAGCGCACCAAGCCGGTTCCGATGCCGCACCCCGAGCACCGGCGCACGCCATCGGTCGAGTCTGACCGGTCCTCGCGCTCGTTCGCGAAGCGCATCTCGCAGGTGTTCCCACTCCGCCGTCGTTCTCGCTCGCGCTCGCCCTCAGTGCAATCGCGCGATTCCGCCGGACCGTCGAGCGTGCAGGTCGCGGCTGCCGAATCGCAGATGCTCCGCGGCGCGTCGAATAACTCGGAAGGGTCGAAGCAGAGTCACGGGCACGCCAATCGCCTGTCGCGCATTTTCATCCGGCCCCGGACGACGAGCTCGTCGAATAACCAGGGCTCGTTGGGCCGACGCGATAGAGATCGGGATAGCGCGGGCGGCAGCGCGCGGCGCAAGTCGCAGTTCATCGTTCCGGCTACACGCCTGGAAGACGTCTTCGTTCCCCCTTCGACGTCTCGCGAGCATGTTCAAGTACCGGTTATCTCTCAGATCACGGACGGGCCCCTCACGCAGTCCCCCCAAGAGCAGCTCGATGTCCAGGTTCGCAGGCTGGAACAATCTGAGCCCGAGGACAGCAGCTCGTCGGTCGGCGACCAGGGTCGCCCGGCCCCTTCGGCGGAGCGGCGACGGCCTACGAGGAGGGCGCCCACCACCTCCAGCTATTCCTCCTCCTTGGACGCTGTAACAGCAAGAGTCCAGGGCCTGCAACCCTCTCAGCCTTCCGTTCCTACCACCGACCAATACTCTCTTCAAGGCCAGATCGCAAGGCGGGCAGTCAGGACGAATGCCGAGAAGGGCTCTGATGTCGATAGCAGGACAACCGCAGCTGCAATCGTCCCTTCCCTTCCCAGAGCGGCGATTGCAAGCGAAGTAGAAACGTCCCAGAACCGCACGACCGAACCCCCTCGCCCTCAACCGCCCGCGACTACATCCCTTGCGCCGCCGCCGGTCCAAACGCCCGCTGCTCCCGTTCAGCCTCCGATCCTCCGCACCTTTCTGGTCCCTCCAGACCCGATTCCGGAACCTGCTACAAATGCGAAAGCTGCCGAGACTACCGTTGTCGAGCGGAGGACCGCCGCTACCCCTGCACATCTGTCTGGATGGCGCGCGAGCATCGCCCGCCACCATCGCGATCCGCCGCCTGCGCCTTCGCCCGTACCTGCGCCCGCCCCGGCGTCCCAACTTGTTGCAACGCTTGCTCCGCCTCCTCGCTCTCGTAATCCTGGAAGCCTGATTCGCTCCTCGTCCAATCAACCGCAGATTCAAGCCGCGTCGGGACTTGGCTCTTCGTCAGTCGATGTCTCAAGCGCTGGCGAGACTACGGACGGCCCTCCGATTCTCATCCCGCCGCCGCAATCGCGCTTCGTGTCTCTTCCGCCCACTCGACAAGCTCGAACTGCAGGAATCCGTGATCAGACCCGGGTCCTCAACGCCCAGAGGGACTCCGAGGCTACCCTTGTCGAACCCAGCCCTTTGCTGCTGGCTCCTCTGCCTGAGCGTCCTATATCGCCTGCGCCACGGGAGCCCGAACGCCGCCAGGAGCCAGTTTTAGCCTCGTCACCTCCAACGTCCACGAGGCCGCGTACGCAGGACCAGGTCAACGCTCGCTCGGTGAGCCCTCCCGAGCGGCCCAGCTCCACTCGTCCCCATGAAAGGTCAGAAAGGCTGGCTCCCACCCGCCCCCAAGAGATACGGCCTTTGGGCACCACTGCGCCTATACCGATACCGCCAAGAGAACGGCGCACGGTCGAGGAACCGGGATCTACGCCATCGTCAACGCTTCCCCAGAGCACACCGTCATCCAATGAGTCACAATCTGTGCGGCCGACCGTCGCAGCGCCGGTGCCTCAACGAGGCGTACGCAATGTAAGGGTGGAACGAGCTGCACCGGCTGAGTTGGCCCCCGTCGCTAGGGCGTCAGAGCGGCCAAGCTCGCCGCCTCCGCGAGAGTTCCGATACGGACTAGGGGTGACTACGGCACAGCGAGATGCCACTCAAGCCGTTGTCGCGCCTCCAGCTCAGGAACCAATGGAGCCACGCCCTGTACCTCCGCCGCAGAGGCCTGTCTCCCCTCATAACCAACGCTATGTGGGCCCGGGCGGTCGTTCTCCGTCGACAGAGCGAGACATCACACCCGTCGTCTCTCAGCCTCGACCTCAGCGCGTGGCATCCCCGCCCCCGCAAGACCGCCCTCCCTTCCGTGTTGCTCCGGCCACACCGTACACCTCTGTTCTTGCTGATGCCCCTCGTCATGCTCAACAGAGCATCCCTGCTGCTGCGGAACCTCCGCCTCAACGACCTAGTTCCCCGCCACCAGCTGTTCAGTATCGGATGGGCAACGATTCTCGCGTCTTGAACTTCCAAAATGAGCGCAACGGCGATCTCCGAGACCAAGCACTCAGTCCTATTCTCATGGAGGCGCAACTTCAAAGATCCGTCACCCCACGACCTTCGGAGGATGCAAACACGGCCCCTTCTTTGACGCGCCCCGATATGTCTCAGCAGCAACTCTTCTCCGACTCCGAAGGGCCTGATCGTAGCGTGCAACCTGTTCAGCGCCCAGGCTCGAGGTCACAACAGAGACCGCCGCCTCCCGCGAAGGAGTACTCGACTCCTCGACCGCCAGCTACCACCAATATATCGTTGGACTCCTCGACACCAGCTGCTCGCTATGCTGCGAACCAACGTCGCGGTCAAGCTATCGACTCATCCCCTGATGTCAGAGCCCAGCCAACGCCCCCTCAGCGGGCGATGTCCCCTCCGCCGCAACCGGATCGGTCCCGTAAGCCGACTACATTCGTTAGGCCGGCATCTCCTACGCGGCACGCTACTCAGTCAGACCAGGATGAACCAGTCGTACCTCCCAGAGAGCAGTCACGAATGCGACGCGTCCCGCCACCGGCGTCAAGCAGGAATGCTCCAAGCACCCCTTCGCGCACTATATCCACGCAGAACCTATATCCGTCGCAAGCGTCTACGCCCATGATATACCATCCGCCGATGCCTACTCGACCCTCGGATGAGTCGCCGCTTCCCCAACCACCACCGGTGGTACCATCGCAATCGGCCCACTCATACAACTTACATCCTCACCGGCATGCTACGGTCGCGGGGCTGCCTGACCGGTCTCTTCCCGCTCGTCCCCGGACGCCGCTGCGCGCAGCGACTGCGCCCATTCCTATCACTCACCCGGCCGTGCAGAGCCGTGTCAGGTTCGATGAGCACCGGAAGCCGAGTCATGAGCAGCTCTCCTATGCCGCCGAGTCTCTGTTCGTTGTTTCGGAAAACGGAATCCGCGTTCCATTTGGGGACTTGTGGCGCGAGAGAAAGACAATCGTTTGCTTCATACGGCACTTCTGGTAGGTCATTCATTGTTGCACGAGTGCATCCCATGACTCACTGCGTACCACAGGTGTCCACATGACCAAGACTACATGCACTCCGTCGCGAGAAATGTCGATCCAATCACCCTCAAGCGAGCGGGCGTCGACCTGATATTCGTCGGCAATGGTTCTGCGGCGATGATCAAGAGCTACCGTCGTAAGTGATTGTGCGCTTGGTTGGCGCCATAGCTAACATCGCCGCTGCTTAGATATATGGAAGCTTCCGTTTTCGGTCTACACTGATCCCTCGTGCCGCTTGTACGAGGCGCTGGGCATGACGCTTCGTACCAATGACCCGGGACCGGAGTTCCAGCGTGGCGAGTACATCCGTCATGGCTTGGTGGGTGGCATCGCTATGGTCGTAGTACATGCTTTGCGTGTGGGGATGCCTGTCTTCGAGAAGGGCGGAGATGCCATGCAGCTCGGCGGCGAGTTCATATTGGGGCCCGGGTCAGCCGTTCCGCTTTCAACGTTATACAGGTCGCTAATATTACACGACACGAACAGGCTGACCTGTGATTTCGCACACCGCATGCGGACCACACGATCTCATACGCCCATCGCTCAGATATTGGCCGCAGCCGGTGCCTCGCCCCGCGCTCCTGCCCGTCGTCGCGAACGTCACGAGACTCTCGAACATCCAGAAGAGCAGCAAATTATCCAGATGGTCCGCAACTCTATCGCTCCCGACATGCACCTACTGCCAGAGCCGGAGCTGGATGCAGGGCTGACCACCTCTCCCAGCTCACCGGACGCACGATCTGTCCCTTCCCCCGTACCACCACCCGTTTCAGAACCGGATTCGCGCCCTCGACCGCGGCCTAGGAAGACAGGGTCGAGCGAGCGGCGCGAAGAGGTTCGACCGAACCTCAGACCTCATCACACTGGCTCCAGCGAGCGACACGAAGAAGCCCGGCCAAGCCTCAGACCTCATCACACGGGCTCCAGCGAGCGGCGCGAAGAGCTTCGGTCAGATTCAAGGCAGCAGCGTCAGCCGCCGGATCCGCGGCGAGGCACTCAGCGATATGACGACTCGACCATAAGCCGTGCTCGCCAACCTCACATGCAGCAGTCACCGCCCGATGTTCCCGAAGACGACGAGACGGACTCAGACGATCGTCCGCAAACACGCGGGCATAACAAGCTCCAGCAACGCAGGACCAGACGCAAGCCGGGGCGAAGGGATGCAGAAGGCCCGGACATCAGCACCCAGCCTCAGGGACATGTCACTCGGGAACGCGGTGGCAGCACGAGCGATGGAAGGCGTCGCCTGGAACGGCCTCGAATCGAACGAGAGGAAGACTCGTGGGGAATGAACCAGAACCCCAACGCCCAGCAGTACCCGCAACGTGGTCAGCGCGAGCGAGACGACTACCGCCCCACCGATCATGGCGCGCAGTCCGACCGCGAGTACTATCAACGTCCACCAGTACTGCGGGGCGACTCGAAACAACGCATGCAAGCGCAAAGACAGCCGCCCAGGCGCGAGCGGGACGTGGAAAAGTATCAGATCGGAAGCGACGACGAGTTGGAAATCGCGAATATGTACAAGCAGGCTCTGATCCTGTCATGATCTCACCCAGAGGTTCGAACCTTCCTCTATTATATCGGCAAACAACACACCCGTTATGTAGTCACGAATGTTCATGATGCAATATATGACAATCATCACTATTCGTGAAGGCTAGGAGTTACATTGGGTGGAAGCGGTTAATCCAAGAAGCCCGGTCTCCAATAATACGCAATTAACCCTATGATGATAATGCTCGCCATGTGCAGATCAGATTCGTGCAAGAGGATAATGAGGTTTCTGCAAGAAGTACGGATACATTTTCTTTCGTCACTGCCATCCATCTTACACGTCCCAGTGTCCGAGACTACACACATATATCAGAGGCGCCGGAGGGCAAATTAATGAGACGAGATGGACAGACATGAATGATGCTCATGCCCAGTTGTCGATGAGGGAGTCACGCATCTCCCCAATGACTGCAGCCGATGTTTGCCCTTGAAGCTCTGAACATACCTGGTGAGCATCACTCAATGGAAAGATGGCGATTGACGTACTGAACGCGGCTTCGATCACGCTGATTTCGGTTGCAGTGGTATCCAGGCCGGTGAAGGCGCACCAGTCATTCACAACCAAACCGGCGCCGATCACATCAGAACCACGGTTGACGGTACCCGCCTTACGACGCGACTTAGTTAATGGCTGATATGGGGCTATCGTCCAGAACTTACCACTAGGGGCACCTGAAGCAAGCTGCTAAGCTCGTCCTGGTCTTGTATACTCGTCTTTGGATGTACGAGCCCGCCCTGATTCGAGATTGCGCAATAGCTGCCGACGAGGACATTGTCCGCGATCGTTTGCCGGAAAACTTCGACCTTGAGCACATCGGCGATGATCTCCTCTGTCTCGCGATCAACATCGGGGTGCACGAGTGCGACGTAGTCGTTGCATGCAATGACATTGCCGAGGGCGGAGAGGCGCTCTTCTACCCGCTGGATGGCGACGGCATCAGGGAGAGAATTGCGGAGGTGCTGGAGTTCTTGGTCGGTAGCGGTGGAAGGGACAAGCAGGCCGTGGCGATTTCCTGGTGGCCGAGACGATTGTCAGCGCTCATGCCCTCGGCCAAGGCAGCCTCGGTCGCACCTGCTGTTAAGCGCCCTATTATGCGCGTTCCGCCGATGGAAGTGTGTACAATCGGTATCACATCTCCTAACTCAGCCTCGAAGGCCGAGTAAAAGTTGGTGCTGCCTTGGATCGCCGTAAGGCAGTAGCCGTTGGTCAGCTTGGAGAACACTCCAATGTCACTGTTGTTTTCGAATTGCAGACCTAAAGATCAACGGATCAGAAAAGATCACGGTGCGAAGTACAGTGCCTTACGGGTCGCCATTATGGATCGGGGGGATTTACAGTACTATAAGCTTGAGCCGGGAGCTGGAGAGAGGAGGAAGGGGAAGGGAAGCAAAGGAGATGCGCTCAACCGAGGCTGGGCGGATGTAGACTTGAGCGAAAAGCGGCCAAGATCAATGCATTTTATCGCACATGCTCGTGACGCGTCGGTTCCGCTCCGTGCGGATGCATGCCTTGCGCAAGACTCACCGCTTGCTACAACGCCGACTCGGATTGACTCCTGCCGCTTGAACTCTTACAAGAGTCAGATCACTGCCTACTCCTTTCCATTCAAGTCCTCTAGATTCCCAAGCGGCCCAGAACTCGTCTTCCACGAATGCGTCCGTGCAATGATCATGCCGCTAATGCCGTTTGCTATCTACGACTTCTTAAGTTGAAGGATGCGTTTCTTCACTTCTCTGACAACAGAAGTCTGCGCCAACGTCGCGAATATTTCTCATAACGTCCAGAATAGACGCAACTCCTTACGCTCAGAAATGGGCGAAGGAGGCCTAGTCCGTCGTTCAAATCTGGTGGTTAGAGACCAGTACGTACGTACCCATGTACCGGGTTTATTTTGGGGTCTGGCCATGATTCATATCCCTCGGGTGAGGATGCATATCGTTGCGATTGACCGACCAGCTTGGACTCTACTAGCTTCAACATCATCATCGTGCACGCCGGGTGTATCGTGGCATGTCAACAAGAACGATAGGCCCTGTGAAGAGGTACATATGACGGGCGAAAATAGATTCCGTCGACCTAATTCGACCTCAAAACACCACGCGCTGCCCTAGCGCCAGCGTATCACTCGCACCTTGTCAGCACCGGTGGGGCACCGACCTAGCAGCCCTCCTTACTCTCAGGTTTCTGCTATTCACCACGCTTCTAGGGAGCTGCTTGTTTTACATAAAGATCCTTCTAATCTTGGAGGCGGCACTGGCAAGTTCCAGGCGCGAGCGACATCGGATGGGGTTGCACTCTCGTCGGGACGAGGCTTCGAAGTTGCACTATTTGCTCCGGCATTGGATAGTCGAATTGATTGATGATCGTCAACAACGACAAGGGATGTCCATGAGCTATCCTTGATTCCGCCAACTGCGTGATTGCTACCACGTCCCTTCCATCGGCCCCATATTCCACTGTGAGATGACAAAGCTTCGGGCAGAGGACGCTTTGGGTGTCGAGCCGGCACGCTAGAACATCGCATAATGCGTCAACCGCCATGTGCGTCGAGCCCTTGTACTGTTTTCCGATCGTCGAGAGGCAACGTAGGTTCGGTACGCACTCTAGCAGGTCACGCCAAAGAGCTCGATCGGCACTCCGAAGGCCTACATCGAGTATTTCGATATCAGCTGCGGAAAGCGAGCTCATGATGGTGGCGATTGCGTTGGCGGTGGGGATGCCCCTTTCCGATGGCGAGCTTAGATCTAGATTATACGTCTGCTGAGGCGATCCACGATGATCCCGAAATGCATTGTTCAAGGATAGAGATCCGCCCGTGATGTCCAAAGAGAGCACTCGGCCAGGGCATCGAATTGGTCTATTCCATGACCGATTCGTGGAGAGCAAACGTGCCAGAGCTGCTTCGAAGGAACGGTCGTCCGTGACCGCCTCTATCTTGATTGTGCAGCTTTGAGGGATGACGAAATGATCCATCATATGGATCGTCGTTGACCAGTGATAACCCTGAATCTGCAGCTTTGTGAGCGAAAGGAGTGGAACCACCCTCGTGGGCGCCGGCATCGAATGAAAATCCGCAACATGGTGATCCGTTTGCTCTTCCAGTCGCTGCGCCATCTTGAGGTGTTGCAAACGAGGAGAACCCTGGAGGGCCTTCGTAAGGCAGTCCATAGAGATACATGCATTCCCTTCAAGGTCCAGCCCTATGAGGTTCTTCATCATGTTCAATTGCCAATTAATAGGCGTACAGGAAACCGTCAGACTTCGGAGGCGAGGAAATGAGTCGCTGAAGGAAATCGAGTGGAACAATGACGTTGATGCTGAACCTTCACGTACTTCCTCAGCTGCGGGCGACAACTCCAAGGTCAGAGTCTTGAGAAGTGGTAATGCTTGGTGAAAGAGTGAGTCAAGATGCACAATGCATTGAAGCTCGGAATACTGGCAATCGAACTCGAGGATACGATCGCGATGCGGCAACAGGATGTTGACGATATCGGTGAGGGGACGAAGACTTCGCATTGCCCCTGAAGGGGGTACGTAAACGAATAGCGGTGCAGCCTGAGATCTGAGCAAAAAGACAGAGACCCGCGACCATGGCAGTATGGCGAAATCGATGGACGTCCATAGCCCCGCCGTGCTGAGAGCGATAGAACGCCATCGACGGGAAATATGAGACACGACCATCCAGGTCTTCTCAACGCTCCGGGTGTTCGGTCCCAACTGCACCTTCCTATGATTTCGTAGTTTCATCATAATGTTTTGTACAAGTTCATCTGGAAGGTTGTCGAGGGGAGAAGTAGAATAGTCGAGATACTGGCCATGGATTGTCGAACTGTTGAGCAGTTCAGTTTGGCGGCGCCGGCCCACAGATGAGCGACGTACCAGTCCTGCCCGTTGCAAGAGGCTATCGCGTAGTTACGCCTTTCCATCTCGTCTGCAGAGTCAAACATGACCAAGCCTCCGGGCTGTAATACGTCCTCCCGAGGCACTGCGGCGAGAACAAGATTGAAGAAGCAAGTTAACGCAACCCGAACAGCGTCCCGCGTCGACGTCGTTGGCGAGTGGAGGTACAAAGCGCTCTGACAAAAGCGTGCAAGCCCGAGCTACGATCATCATAGAATTCAACAGAGCTCTATGGATACACCCAGGTAGCGACCTTCGTATGCTTACAATCTGCCGCGAGTGAGGTGTGTTGAGAGCTGAGCAAGAGTTGGTTATGTCGCGCGCGAAGCGACTCAGGGCGTATCAGTACGCTCTCAGGCAAACGGCTCCGTTGCGTGAACGACTGTCTTCACGCTCTAGAGTCTGCCTGGGGAGACAAAAACGGCAATGAGCTCGTACTGCACAATCGAGAACCGTTGCAAGCTTCGAGATGATATCTGCTGTTGATGAGTCCCCGTCGACGGCCTTGAATCGGCTCCTCGCTATTGTCCTCGCGGCCCTCTCGACGCATACGGTTCAAGCTCATCAAAAGTACGAAGCTGGTGATCCGACATCGGAACGGGCAATAGACGACGACGTTGGAACCTCCGCAGTGATCTCCTCGCACCTCGGTGAGTACGATCCCCACGACGTCGTCGATTTGCAACTCAACTTTCTCCAGTATTCTTCCAGACGCAGGACGACACGCCCGCACACTACTTCAACTGCTCGCTTCCGACGGTCGACTGCGGACAGTACGCGCAATGCAACCATTCTACTGCGCGTTGTGAATGCCCTCCTGGCTGGACCGGCGACGAATGCTTGACACCTCGTGCGTAACCTGGTCGCTATATCCTAGATATGTTTGTTCTCGACCTTAACCAACCACTTCAAAGAATGCGACTCGCTCGCGGACGAACCCCATCGTCAACCTCGAGCTCCCGGTGAAACATGCCAATGCAAAGCCGGCTGGGGCGGCATAAACTGCAATGGTATGCACTCTCCGGCGTGCACAATCAGCTGTGAATAACGAGCCATGCTTAGTGTGCAACGACGACCAGGCTTGCGTCGGATTCTCGCTCTTGTCGCAGCCCTCTCCGAACGATTCGGAAAGTGAAGACATGGTGTGCTACAACGGGGGCGATTTCGTATCCAGAAACCGCCACATGTGTAATATCACGAGTACGTAGTTCCTAAAGCCTTCATAAAGTATTCATTTAATTTGCTTACCCTTGCTTGCAGACGAGATGCTAATGGGAATCATGAACGGACGACAGCCTCACGCCACACTCTCTTGCGACAAGAGTTCATCGGAATGCTCCTTCCGATTCTGGGCCGAGGAAGTCGAATCTTTCTACTGTGCCCTCGATGGCTGCTCGTTCTTTAGTTCGTCCGACCCTGAAACTGACAGGACATTCGCCTACGTCTGCGACCGCATGAAATGCAAGTGCATCCCGGGCCGCTTCTTCTGCGGCGAACTGGGAAGCGTCGACATTTCCTCGTTCTTGGACGAGGACATCAAAGGTCCGGGCTCCTTCGCCTGCGCGACTGGCGCCGGATGCCGATTCGAGGAGCCCAGCCTGAACGCACTATCCGACGCGCTGTTCGGCGACCCTTATCTCATGCTGCGGTGCGAGAGCGGGGAGTGTATACGCTCCTCGTCAGCTCCAATGGACCTCAAGTGAGCGGAAGTGCTGAACGACATGTAGATACACGCGACGGTGCTGGCTAGCGGTGTCGCGGTACTGACAAGCGCTGTCACGTAGTCGCACGTCCGACCTCAAAGCTTAAAGGGCCGGGCGATTGATCGGCTGATTACACCTCTTCAAACCGGACCTGTCCAATGTCAATGATGTGCACCGACAGATAAGAGGTCACGACAAACGAGACAATGAGATGGTGTTTCGTATAAGTTCGAGAACTGCTCTGACTATCAGTCCGACGACGCCAGCTTACAGGTGTGCGACGTAAGGCTAGAACTGTTCGTTACGAGACTAGTTGCACCTTTCCGTCTTGTCTGCAGCGTCTCGAGTGCCGTGTGCAGGATGAAGGGCTCACGCTCGAGCCGCGATTGTTTCAGGTGTAGGTATTGAACTCTATATGTCAGGTAGTACAGTACTGTCTATGATAGGTCTATGCATGACACGGGAAGTCGTACGCTTGTATGCCCGAAGTTTGTTCATGATCACGCTGACACGCACGCTGAGACGACGGGTAAAATGTCATCGTTCACGCCTAGTAGCGACCAAACCTCCGAACGCCTCGCCATAGTCGTCCAACACCGGCAAGGCTGTTGAGGTGACGCATGGACTGTTCCCATACACGGCGGGGTTAATCACAATATCGAGATGTGTCAACGTATGGGCACTATTGAGGGCGAGGATAGGTAACCAGGGAGCGAAATCGACATGAAAGGTCGTGGAGAAGCGCCTCAGGTGTACGCGGGAGAGGATGCGGCAGAGGTACACGACAGCCACCTTTGCGGAATCGTCCCAGAGCTGTTCCTTGACCGCGAGCGAGCGCGTGTTCGCGAGCAGCTGAGGTTCACAATCCGTCTTGGATGCAAGAGCTTCGAGGCTATCCATTGTGCCGACGTGTCTGATAGTCTGCATGTCAATCGAAGACCGGATGTGTATATCACCGTACAAATCCCTCTTCGCGAGGTAGTTGCCGCGAGTCCATGACGCTAGTCCCGCTAAGGCGACCGAGGCAACTGTGTGATCGAAGATGCGAGGATGGCGCGCATACAATTACTGCATCTAAGTCATGTACAATCAGAAAAGAGACACCGCTGTGGAGAACGAGTTTAACATGGCAGGAAAGTTGAGAGGTTGGACGAGGATACCGTTCGGATTGGGCACATAGCTGATATATGTCTCGAGGGTGACGGCATGCCTTGTTCACGCACGCGCCTCGGCACTGCAAGGTTTTCTGCATAGTGTAACATAGAGGCCCGAGGGCTGAGCTTGACAGTTTGATCATCCGAATGAATCGGCCATTGCGGACGGCGGCGATGGTGGTCGAAAGAGAAAGGTGCGTACGCAACGGGGCTTTCTCACGACGCCAACAACCACCTACTTCCGGCCTCAGCGGTGCATATCTTGAGTGCACATGTAGCTTATTGCTCGTTTCATACGAGGCAATGTCCGAGCGTTGTAGTCTTTACTATGATCAAGGCCTCGGATCGTGGATCCCGGAGACTTTTGGTATCACCTGTTACAGATCTATCGTTCGACCGCTTTCATCTTGGCGAGGCTGTACTCGGGTGTGGTCACCATAATCCACAGCGCAGCCGCGCGGAAACACCTTCGCCTTAGCCGTCACCGTACGCAAAGCGGTCGGAAGAATGGCGGCTTCCGCTCAGAATCAAGGTTTTGTGTCCGGGGAGCAGTACCGCTATGCGCTGAGTCAGTTCGTAAGTCGGCCCGTTCATTCGTCCGGCACGCTGGGCGCTTGATGCTAAGCCGACCGCGCGTAGAGGATTGCGCATGAGCAGGTGGAGCAGCAGCGGCAGCAGATGGAGGAGCAGGAGAGGCAAATCGCGATGCTGCGGTCGCGGATCGCGACCCTGGAGGGCGAAGACTTTGCGCAGCCGCATTCAGCTTCAGCCAAATCCTCTGTGGACGACTTCTCCGTAAAGGCAGGATTTGTTATCACGCGTCGCAAGTCGGGTTGTCTGATGTTGTCGTTACAGAATGCTGCCTCCAGGTTAGAGAAGCTGATCAATCGCTGGGCTGGAGATATCGTCCGAAGTCCTCCTCTTCCTCTCGCTGATCTCCAACGAGCGACGTTGGAGGATATCAACGATGGCAGCCCCTCGGTGATTCCAGATACATCCGCGATGAAGGTACAAAGTCTACTCCGCCATGTCATGTCCGAAGTGATCGCCGATGGGGTCGTGAACTGTCTCATCGTCACTGATTCAGCTGAAGCGAACATTCAGCTCTCGCGAATACACGAACACATTTTCTCTCGTAAGTGATCCGCGCCTGTAGTATCATTTCGTCGCCTCACTACCGACCGTTTAGGTGACGCGACTGTTGCATGCGTTTGGCGCCGTCAGACCTTCTCCGCCGCGATCGAGGCGCCATCGACGGAAATGACCACCCTCATCCTGCAAGAGCAGATGCCGAATCTCTTCGGCCTATTTTCGCCACCTCAACAAAGTCCTATTATGCACGCCGCCATCCCGCTCCTCCAGAGCGCGACGGAGTTCTCGCGCATGCTGCACGGCTCCAATCCAGGTGGCTCTGGCGCAGCAGACACGTTCTATCGCGCGTTTGTGCCTGAGCTCGGAAGTCCGCTCGACCCTAGGCAAGTCGAGCTCGTGAAGCGGTGCGTGCAGAGCGACAAGGGCGCGGGCGATAGGGTAGGGGCTACGGTTTTCTTTGGCTTGGTCAAGATTTCGAGAGAGGGGCACCAGAACGTTCAGACTGTCGTCAGACGGGCCCAGGTCATCTGCGAATGCGCTCTGGCGCCGTTACCCTACGCTTGATGCGCCCTCTACTGCATACCGTCTCATTGTCTTGTCAGTCTATTTATACGCGACCTGTCTTATACCAGTTGAACATCGATCGTGCTATGTGTTACAAGGAAAATGAAATTGCATTCACTTCATCATGGAACTGTGCAACTTCCAATACTCTTATTCTGGGATCTGAGTCCAATACTTGAAGTCGGCTGGAACAAGACTTGGACGACCATGGCCGGTATTATATATGCCCCACATGGCACCCTTGAAGAAGAAATTTCTATTCCACGGCTTCGGTTAGAAAATGCATTGTCGGCAGCGAAACACCACTCACCCTTGAGGTGGGAGAGACATAGCAGCTGCGTCAAACGTTACCGGGAAGACGAAATCGTCACCTCCCTCTGCGTATCCCAGCGTGTAAGTGGTGGAGTTGGTGACGACTTTCAATCTGACAGGTTCAGAGTCTGTGCGTAGCGGGATATACGTCGTCTATCGGGTGATGTGAGATCGGTAGACGATAGTCCAACTTGTCGTAGGATCCTTACCGTAGTCATCGTGTTGTTAGCAGGCACAAGCGCCCACGGACCAACCTGCTGCGCCGCGACCTTCGTCCTCACAACAATCTTCCTCCCGGTCTCCCCACTCGCCCGGTCCGGGCCCGCCACACCGATATCATTGTGCAACAGGTCGTCGTAGAAGGCGCTCAAACCCGCTTCGGTCAGATTCGACCCCTTGTCGCCAACGGCGAAATCGTCCAGCCGAACCTCCACGCTCTCGTTGTAAGACGCTTGTTTGCGCAGGAGCAGCGCGGGCACGTCACGATCGCCCGGTGAATAGGGGCTCGCGTTGATTCTGAGGTATCCCGGACGCGCCGTGAGCGAATGGAATGGTTTGTAGGGTGTGCGATGATAGAAGAAAGAGTGGTCGAGGGTTTTGCTGGTAAAGGAGGTGTTGAATGTCGATGAAGTGGGTTTGTCGTGAAGAACGCCAGGCATATGCTCGCGGATCGGCTCTCCATGATTGAAGATAGGCCAACCATCCTGCCATGTGACGGGAAAGAGGAATGTCTCGCGACCTGACGGAGCACAGGGTGAGCAAAGAGCAAACGAGAGATGACGCTGCGTACCGAGCTGAAGATAGCTGAAGTTCCCTTGTTGAGGACGGACCCCGAGGGCGACGCCCCACCATTGCCCGTCGGCGGCCTCGACGAAGTCAGCGTGACCCGTCCATTGCACAGGCAACGATAGGTCTGCGCCGTTGAAAAGGATGGGATTTGCTGGATTGTTTTCCCATGGCCCAGAGGGCGACGGTCCGCGTTGGATGGTGGAGCGATGCTGCGGTCCAGAGCCGCCTGTGACGCCCAACTCGTGAGCCACCAGTACAGTCGGAGTTGCCTGGGCAAACTTACCTTCCGCAATCATGAGGTAGTAGGTACCATTTACGTGGTATACATGAGGACCCTCTGGCCGCGATGTTGAGTTTAATGGAAGAGTGCCGTTGAAGATTAGCTGGGCCTCGGTGAGGGGACTCCCAGTCTCCAAATCGATTCTGTTCTGCCAAATGCCTGAAAGCCACGTGTATCATGAGTGAGCCCTTGTGTTGTGAATGTCTATGGAACGCGAGAGGCACACCATAAATGTTTTGCACGGCATTGTTGATGCCCGACCATGTGTTATAGACCTAAGCAAATGCGTGAGACAGGTTCAGGACCTGGACGCCGCTGTGCTCACATCGCCGTTCGTATCCCAAAACAAATCGTTGTCATAACCCAACGAGTCTTTGCCGCACCGTCAGATACCTGTTAGTCCACATTGCAAGATATTTACCAAACCACACAGGGTCGCTCCAGTTGTTCGAGAATATATCTTCCGTCTTGACATAGAATGATCGAGGGAAGAGCCTTAACTCCGGAGTGTAGACGAAGCGTGTGGTTGATACAAGATAGAACATCCCCTTGTGGTACCGCAATCCAGGTGCCCAGGACCCTGTTGAAGCGATGAATACGAGGGGAACACCAACTTGTACGCGGTCTTGTGGACATAGACGTACCTCCGCTTGGAGGAACACCCGTCAAATCTAATTGGCTACGGCGATTCAATCCATATCCAATGATGCTCCAGTCCACTAAGTTTCTGCTGTGCCATATCGGGTGTCCCGGAAACTGTTCGAACGTCGAGGTCGCGATGAAGTAGTCGTCACCGACGCGGAGAATGGTCGGGTCCGGATTCCATCCAGGTAGTATGGGATTCACGAGTGCGCGTGTACCTATGTGCGAGGGAGCTTGGTTCAGCACTTGGTTTCCGGTCAGACTGTGGGACTCCGACTCACAAAACACGAAAAGCAAGAGGGCGAAGGTCGCCTGCAACAGCTGCTTGCAGGCCATAGCCAACCACCACTGGCAAGCTAATGACGTGAGGATTTTAAATTTCGTCGTTGATGGGTTCCCATATCGAATTTATATAGAAGTGCATGGTGTAAGAGGAGATGTTCAGCCGCCGGTCCGGGGCGGAACAAGTCTTCTGACCATGATATGCGGAGGCAGAGCAAGTAACTTAGCGTGGCGGCGAAGTACGAATCGCGCCAGGTCGGGATCAGTTACGTGACAGTCTATGTATAACGTATGTATCGCGAAATGATACCGCAGTTATTTGGCGATTTTATAGATGCGCGTACGGGGGTTCGGAGCAGTCTACACTTGGCCACTCGTCGCCCTCGTACCTGTGGTGGCGATCGAGGCCTCAAATGCCTTTCTTTCGGCCTCCGCTCTGACGAACTCCTCGCATTCCACCCGACTCTTCGGCACATCAACCAAGTAAAGGAAGACCGTGCTCACCACACCCCTGCGCGCGTTATCATATATGAGCCAAGATTCGACCAGTAGAGGGAGAGAAGACTGACAGGGAGAATAGGAAGGTAAAAGGCATGTTGTTGTTATCCCCTGAGTCGGTGATGATCGCGGAAGTGACGAAAGGCCCGATGAAAGCCGAGGTCTTGCCCACGACGGAGAAAAGAGCGAAGAAAAGGAACCTAAATGAAGCGTTGTCAGATAAATCAAGCGCGACTTCAGGAATAGAAAGGCCCACATCTGAGGGAGAGGCGATACTTCGCTGATCATGGTCTGACTGTACGCGTACCAGGGGCACACCATGAGGCCATAGTACGCTTGGTACAGCCTGTAATAAATCTGTTCACAACGCTTTCATATAAATGACGCAGATTATATACCATATTTCCCAGACGTGCTTAAAGCCGAACGCGTTTGTGTGTATGCCGATAAGACCCCAAATAGTCAAGATCTATAGAATGTGGTCCATGACCTTAGAGAAGAAGGACGCGCTTTGGCTTGACGGGCGACGCACGATTATCCAGATCACATTGAAGGATAACATCTAAAAGTGGAGGATGAAATCGAGTGCGCAACGTATCAATGTCACGACGATGTACCGCTTTCGTTGAGATGTTGTACTTCTTCTGTACGATCCAAAACAGGCTGTACCGCTTGTCGAGTCTCATCCTAGAATGGCACAAGTCCAGGTCACTCACTATATGCCCAACCCTTGCGCTACAATGCCCACGATGAGGAGTAGCGTGAGATCCAACGTCGAATATGATACAACACTGAGTAATGGGTGAGCTTTCCCAGTGCGGATGTCGAAGAAAACCGTATGCACCTGTTCTGCAGAGTCCCAATCACGGTTACAGTCGTGTTTAATACATCGCCCCTTCCACCCATAGCTTCAGTAGGCACTCTTGGTAGAGAATTGACGTGACCCACATGAGAAAATAGAAGATGAGATACAAGAACGTCTGCTTCAACCTGAGACATTCTCGGAATGCGACATAGGTTTGCTTGAAGCCAATAGTGAGGAAGGATGTGCGTGGCGGGAGAGCTAGCCCGGGGCGCCTCTTCTCGAGAATGAACCATGGTAAGGCGCATAGAACTGCCCTCATAGTTAAGATCGAGCTGTCAGACACAAGGATGCATTACTGACGCCACACTCCACCGGAAAACGCGATAAGTACGCTGAACGCCTTGGTGTTGTTCTCCGTACTGTCACCTGCGTGAAGACCCTCCAGGATTCCGACCATCACGGCAAGTATGAATATTTCCCCGAGTGAACACACCGCGAAGGAGACGTTGGATATGCGGTTGCGTTGGAGCGACTCATGAGCAGCGTCCTGTTCGAGCGTTTTCTTGCCTTCAAGTACGTCCTGTGCTGAAGCCTTGACTTCGGGAAGATCGCGTGCGAGGCCAGGGAATGCGGCGGTCCAGAACGTCAAGGCGCATTGGTAGGTGATGACTGTCGAGCATCGTAGTCAGTCACCAGAAATAACAATGTACCGCATACTCACGACCGAGGATATACAGTGCAACACCTGCTCTCCATCTCGAGGGATCTTCGACGCCCAGCCAGGCAAAGGAGACGGCGACGGCTAAAATCGTGAAAAATATTGTAATATTGGGCCTCCACCTGCCATAGTCCGCCCATGCGCCGATGAGTAAGAGAACAACAGCTTGGATGGCGAAGCTTATGCCGTTCGTCAAGAGAACGATAGAATTTACTGTTAAAGTGATGAATGTCGATGAGCGAAGCCGACATGGAATAAGGCTTACTGTCTCGCACACGTCCGAGGTACGGCAGCACGCATCCCGTGTTACTTCCACAGGGAGCCTCAAACGGCGGGTGAGCCGGGTCATATCCAGCCAGGAATAGCAAGTTCTGGAACTGCGAGGGCCCAAAATTGAATCCAGATAGTCCGTTGTTTCCCTGGGCGTGCACCCTTCGAACCGAGTTCAGATCGGAGAAGTATATACGAGCGCACCACATAATACAGATAAAACGCCCAAAGCTCCCATTTCGTGGTCTTCCACTTGGATCTATCCAAATTCTGATCCTCGACGCTGTCCTCCGCGACGTCGAACGACTCGCGTTTCTTGTCCAGCGTCTCCTCAGGTTCCATGATGGCAAAAGGCAGAGAACTCCACTGGTGGATTGTAAGGCCCACAAATACCGAAACGCCGCATGCTGAGCGAACTTCGATGCGCCATGGTCGTGGGCAAAGATCTGAGCTGAACTGAGCGGCCTCTTCCGCGTTCCGGCCGGAGCCGGGCAGCCACTCACTTTGACCTCACCACTCTCGACGTCGTCCGCGACAACGAATCGCTTCGGATGCATCGCGCCTTAGCGGTCTCCCAGAGGACGCTGCAGCCTGCGGGGAGGAACCTCGTCAGGGTTTCTCGGCGGGTGAGGTCAAATTGTTATTCCATGGATACATGTATACTGACGCGACAGCCTCGTAGCGCCTTGCGACTGCTGCAGAAGGACAGACGGCACCACCAAAAAAGTCGAGCGGAGTCCGACGCTTTCTGCTCTACACTGCAACCGCAACTGCTACGTTCTACATAGGCAGCGCCTTTGCCGCGGTCAACAACGAAACCTACCATGACTTCTTCGTGGACAACGTTCCTCTGGCTAGCTCCGTCGTTCAGTTCGCGGAGGACGAGGGCTTGGATGAAGTCACGGTCGAATCCGCAATTGAATCGGTCATCAATGCCGGGCGTGGTATACTGATCGTGGCGGACGACGTGGTGAAGGGTGTGCAGCGCCTTGCGGGCGGGATAAACATCGAGACTGCGGTGAACAAGACGAGCGAAAGCGATATCGTGGACAAGCTGAAGGAGGCTCGGGACGCAGCCGTGAAGAAGGTTAAGGGCGAGGCGGAGAATGTAGAGCGGCAGGCGAAGAAGGCGGAAATCAAGGTCGCGGAGCAGCCGGAGCCTCACAAGACCACTCTGAAGGAGACGGTGGAGAAGGCGAAGGCGAAGGCAAAGGCCGTGAAGGACGCCGTCGTCATTTCGATCGAGAGGGACGAGGAGCGCGTGCGTGGTATCGTGCGACACCGACTTCGGTCGTTTTCGGCGGGTGTGGAGGAGCTCATCGAAGAAGCGGAAGCTGCACTGGCAGGCAAAATTCCCAAAGAACCCGTTCACGAGGTAGCCGGTAAGATTGGCGGCACGAACGTCTATGACTCGCCCCTCCCTCTCGGTTTCGAGCCACCTCCAGGCTACGCTCGCCCCGCTCCTCCCCCCAAGCCTACTCCCGCTCCCGTCGCTGCTCCTGCCCCCGATCCTCTCCCCCTTGTCGCCCCCGCGGTCGCCGAACTCGGTGCTTCGGAGCCCGTCATCGCTCAACTTGCCGATGTCATCGACAACCTCGCCTCCTACCTCAACTCCAACCCCACCGCCGCCGAGAAGGCGCGCGACATCCTTGACATCGCCAAGATCGATCTCACCGAGCTCGCCGGCAAGGTGGACAAGGTGAAGGCTGAGGAGAAGGAAAAGCTGGAGGCTACGCTGGACGAGCAGGCACGGCAGTACAACCTGAAGCTGTTGGAGTTGGAGATGGCGGCCCAGGATAAGTTGGACATGCAGGAAGATGAGTTCAAGAAGTATCTCGAGGACGAGAAGGCCAAGTTCGTCAAGGCCTACCGGGAGAAGCTTGAGCAAGAACTTGCCACCCAAAGCGAGATAATCAATCAACGGTGTGTTCTCTTTGCTTCCGGAGATGGCAGTCTTTGATTCACGCAACATGGGCAGTCTGAAGGAGGAGGTCATCGCGCAGGGCATCGAGTTACAGCGTCGTTGGATCCGTGAGGTGAAGGTCCGCGTTGAGGAGGAGCGCGGTGGACGTCTCGCTAAGCTTGATGAGCTTGCCGCGAACCTCAAGCGCCTCGAACGCGTCGCACTCGACAACTCGGAGTATCTCGACGAGAATCTACGCGTGCACGCGCTCTGGTCCGCCCTTCGCGCGCTGAATACTGCCGTGGATTCACCCACACGCAAGCCGTTCCGCGAGGAGCTCCGTGTCCTCAGGCATTTCGCCACCGCGAAGGATGACCCGGTCGTCACCACCGCGCTCGAGACGCTTGAGGCAACGGATGTACCTGACATTGGCGTTGAGCCTTTCGCGGACCTCGCGAGCTGGTTCTCGACCAGCGTTGCGCCGAAAGTCGCAAGCGTTGCGCTCGTGCCTGACACGGGTGCCGGCGTGCTCTCCCACCTTGCTTCGCAGCTCCTTTCCTCCTTCCAGTTCAAGCGTAGTGGGCTTGTCGAAGGCTCCGACACGCTCAGCGTCCTCGCGCGTGCCGAGTACTATCTCAACGAGAAGGACCTCGATAGCGCCGCGCGGGAGTTGAACCAGCTCACCGGGACAGCGAAGTTGTTGCTCTCTGATTGGCTTGATGCTGCCCGCCGGAGGTTGGAGATTCAGCAGGCATTAGAGGTTCGTGAGTATACAAAGTTTAGCCAACTCAAATTGACTCCAGCCATTTCAGGTACTACAAACGGAAGCGACTCTGTTATCGTTGCTTGTGGTTTGATGCTAGCCAAAAGTATAAATAACATGATTTTGCCGCGATGGACGTTGGCGTTTTCAGGCTAGACCCCTTCATGACCTAGACTAATATATGAGGCCTTGAGCAACTACGTCCAACACACAAACAGTCACACAGCTGCAATTGGATACCTTCAACGAGTATCGGAAGATGTAGTCCGAACAACGCGGTCACGCTGACGCGCTCCGTCACGGCGTCACGGCGTGTCCACCGTAGGCAGCTGCAGCGCCATGCATGTCTTTCCGTATGGTGCTCTTGATATCGTCCTCAGCACGACGGAAACTATGATTATCCCTATAAACGTCTCTTTACCGACCTCCATCTCCGAGTCCGACAGATCTAGGCCAAAACTCCCCCCGAGACTCGTCAAGCTAGGGGACGCGAACTCAGACGAACTGGTGCTCATTGAGCTCCAGGGCGAGCTGGAGACGGAGGGCGTCAAAGACAACCAGGTCGTTGGCACGCTCAAGCTCGATGAGAATGTAACTTTCCGTACTTCATGCGGTATGGTTCTGGCATCGCTAACGCTTTGATCGGGGTCCCAGGACAAACCAACGCTCATGATCGGCTACCATCTCCTGGAAGGCAAGCTCGTGAACCTTTCTAAACCCCTTGCGGTACTCCATCTCCCCGGAGCCGATGCGCGTCCGTCTATGCCCAGTGGTGCAGCTATGGATGTGGACTCCGAATCGAACCATAGCAAAGAAGGTGTTGCGTGGAACATGGTTGCGATTGTCAAGCGCAAGATCGTCTTCTCCAAACGGCCCATGCCCATCGTTGGTCTTGGTAGTTCGGCGTCTTCTACGCCCGCCTCTGTCAAGGCGAAGTAGTTCCGTGCAGAATACCCTCTACAAATGTGCGGCATCTATGCGACTCGCAAAGGTGATCCGACCGTGGATGTTCATCCTTATCAGCACTGGCTCATCAGGATGGGGTAGACGTTGGTGGAACATCGGCCGGGACGGAAAGCCAAGCTGGGCTGCGTACCTCCCTTGCGGATGCGTACGGGCAGTTGAAGTGATTCCTCGACCTCAGCCTGCCTCGGGCCTGTGGGAAAATTTAAAGGACTCAGGATGCTGACTCGAACGTTCCGGGTAGCATGCTCTCCCTCGGAAGGGTGCTTTGTGCGAAGGGTTGGTTGATCCTCAATACAGATTGAAGTACGTGCGACTGTAATCTTCCGTAAAAACGTTCAAAGGAACGCAGCAATGATATTGAAATGTTGATCGCCAGTCGCTTTCCACCTACCGCTTCCAAGGCCGACCGTTTGGAAGCCTTCCCGATACAGGGACAACTTGGACTACCTGAAAATACCGTTGCTGCACAAAATGCCGACTTTACTGGACGGTCATTACCGCGCTTGGATTAAAGTGGAGGGTAGGGAACTACCTGAGTTGAATGTCGCGATCGAAGCTGAGCAGGAGGCGGCACAGCCCATGGCATCATGATGGGTGGCCTTTGAAGCCGGGAAGATGCCGAACATTTAGTGATTGCTTGGTGGTCAGGATGCGATATAATCCCGACAGGAATGTTCCATCAAAGTTGCAGACGACGACCCCAGATTCGACTTTGCCAGCGATATCGTCGTCAAAATCGACGGAATCGACATTCCCGACACTGATGAACGATCCATATACGCTCGAGAAAGAGGGCGCCACAAGTAGTCGGGAATCTGCAACATCCGAGTCGTTGCCGCCAGGGAAGGAGCGATCAGGAAGGCATTGACCTTCACTGCGGCTCAACAGATTCAACTCATTGGTATGTCCTCTATTCGATCGTGCTCACATCCTTGGTAATCAAACGCGGCCCAGAGAGCTCGCAGTCACCCGAGGCAGCATCAAAGGAACTGGGCTAAATATAGATATAAACATGGCGCGCCGTTTCCGACGATGATGATGTCGTCGTCACTAAAGTCGACTCAAACGTAGACCGCTCTATACCCGGAGTGGAGACAGTGGTCCCTGAAGAAAGCAGGCTGGTAGGTCGTTATATGGCCGAGTCAGTGGGTCATCCGAGCATGTCGTTTGCAATCAAGCAAAGACATAAATTAACCTCGAATTCTAGCTATGGCAGGGAATGGAGGGAAGTCCATCCAGGTAGGATAACCTGGACCGACGTCGACGACTCGCCGATTGCCACCTTCATGTGCAATCATGAACCGTTGGGTAAGCTCTGCATCGTGAACTTGACCTAAACAATGCTGACAGCATATGTCTAGCTGTACTGGTCGCAATTGAGCTGGTTCCCGAACCAGACGACGACCCGCAAGGTGTCTCCAGGCGCAGGATTGCGACCCAAATCTCAAGCACCTCATTAAGTACATGATGGCGTATTTTTCTCGAGGAATGCGAGGTACCCCGGACGACTTGAAGATCGCGTCAGAGCTTTGTTTAGCACCTGATACCGATCCAGGACGGAAAGCGGCCTCACGACGTTACTGAACGCCCAGTATTCTCGCGCATAATTCGCCTTTTTACGCCTTTCATCACTGGAAAGCGCCGGGTGCCCCGGCAGCTCACCTTCGCTTGAGCAGAGCTGCACTTGCACGTATGCAAAATCACTAGATTATGATCAGGTAAACTATAGTATACACGATGACAGTAGACAGTTCCACGGACTGCGACCCGATTTGATATTTTGTCTGCAGTTCTGGTGTATCACAAGTCGTAATCAAAGGGTTGCAATTCTGCATATGGAACGTACAGCTCATGAGTTGCGATTCGACGCAAAAATGGCGGGGTTGAGGCCCGGAGAGGGGCAGCCGTGAGAAGAGTAAACGTAAGACGCGAAGTTCAACCAATAGCGTCGTTGCAACACAGCCCCTTCACAAATACCGGTCCAGGGATATATACGTACCTGAGCAAGCTCAGGTAATATTCGTCCTTGTTGATTCCCTCACTTGTGGTAGCTCTAGCTCACATGGAAACGAGCTACGTCTACGCTGTAACCTGGTATTGATCACTGTGTCGACAAATTATTTTACAACATCAGTCGCTGCACATTGCTATCGTTCATATCTTCATTGTCATTTTACCTAGATGTAACATACTATAATACACAACTAGTACAGAGGGTCTTATCAACTTTTGCGACGAAGTCAAAAGGCATTTTGATGCGACGGCGACAAAGGAAAGAAAACAGGCCGAAGAAGACGACCAGAATACAGCGCCCGTGCTCTCCGGTAAAAGGGCGAGGCGCGGCGAACGCTATAGTACAGGAGATAACTTATCACGAAACGTATGGAGGGCGAAAGGCTGGTACAAGGACAGATCGGCGGTCCGGCGTTCGCGAAGGGGGAAACGGTGACGGCGATGGCGAGTCGAGGAAAACGGAGTACAGACGTATATGGTACAGTCCGACGCGTCGCGGGGTATTTGCGGGTTTTGTCGACGAAGATGGTAAGCTTGGTGCGGTGATGGTACAGTTGCTGAGGCTTGATATGATAATTCGAAGAGAGAGGCGATGATAAGGAAGGTGAAGATGGTGAGGGCAACAACGAGCGGATATCATTCGAGGCCGGCGCACTGCCGGAGACCACGAGATGGCGCGAGAGAACGAGCTCAGTTGAAGCCGTCGAAATGGCCCTTGAGGATGCGCTCGCCCATCGGGGAGGGCGCGCGGCGAGTTGATTCGGTCGCCCGACGCTGCTTGGTGCGAGGTACGGTACGGGCGTCCGTCGGCGACCCCGAGACGCTGTTCGGGGGCGGGACGGTGCCCGAGTGGCCGCGGACGGTATGAGCGCTCACAGGCTGGACAGCGACCTGCGGCTGTGAATCGATGGAAAGAGAAAGGATGAGCACCGTGTGGGCAGAGAACCCTATAGCGGAAATCACGAAGGAGGCTAACCTTGGACGCGAAGGAGCTGCCCATCGACAGCCGGCGCAGGAGGCCTGTGGCGCGCTCGTTGGGCGGTGCGGTGGCGACGGCCGCAACGACGGGCTGGACGGGCGGGAAACGGCCGGCGATGCTCGCCCGGCGAACGGGTCTCATGGCGGGCGGAACCTCATGCTCGTCGTCTGCAACGAGGATCGCGAAACCTTAAATCAGCATGCCGGCCTTCTCCCACGGGTTCAAATAGGCAACGGACCCTCCATGATGGGGCCCCCGAAACGCTTGAAGCCGGGGAAGGCGCCGGGGCCGGTGGTGGGCGACTTGGGCGCGAGGAGGTAGGAGAGGATGGGGGACGACGGAGAGGTGGAGACCTTGGGCTGTGCGAGGGACGGCGGGGTGCGCGGCGGGGAGTCCGAAGACGAGTCGGACGAGACGGACGAGCGGCGACGGTGGTGCTCGTACGCATTCCCGCTGATGGGGATGGGCGCGGAGTGGGCCTCGGTGCGGTTGTTGGATGCCATTTTGTTGCAGGTGTTCGACAACGGGTGGTGGTGGTGGTGATACGAAAAGGGCTGGCTGCGAGAGGAGAGGAGTTGCGCTAGTGCATCTGACGAATGGAGGCGGTTGTCTTTATAGATGGCGGCCCTGGTTGCGCACGGACGCCTGTGCTAGGTCGTTTCCATGTTTAGCAGGTTCCCCGCAGCTTTGCGAAGAAGGGGGAGACACCCGTCAAATTCTCGAGTCAATTGACTCCCGGAGAGGCGAAGAATCACAATCAATTGGGTTTGGCTCCAACGCAATCGACGTTTTCGCACACACCACTTGCCAAACTCGTCAGGTCCCCAGTCGGAGTCAGAGCTTCTCCCCCGTGCATCATCCTCAATCCGGATCTTATCTCGTGAATAAGCCTCTGCGCTGCCATGCTCAGCGAAACGCTTGGTAACCACCAGGCCGCTCACAGTCGTCACTTGCTACACGGAAACGGCGCTGGACTCCGAGGCGGTCGCGAGCACGCCCACACCCATCTGCCAGCGCACCAGGCTGAGCCAGACCCAGGAATCTTGCCAACACCACCCCGATACTGTCCCCCGTCACGGTTCTCTCTTGATGCTTCGCACAATCGCGGATCGCTTCCGCCCAAGGATACAGACAAAGTGCACGCCAAGGGAGTGGTAACCGATCCTTACCATCCTTATCCCGTGCCTTCCTTCGACCGTTTGGTGAGTGTTTGGTGGGAGCGATCCGTGCTCAGGTGACCTCTCGCTGACGAGGTGCTGCTTCCCCGCCTCGTGTCTCTCGAGCAAGGCGTTCTGAACGCCGGAATCGAGCACGGGCGGACGGCGTCGGCATGCTGCTCACGTCACCTCCTACAGGGGATTAGCTCGATCTAGCTTACATTCGTCTGCGACATCATGATCAGGCTGCATTCCACTCTGTGTTTATCAACTCCGAAACCTAACGTCCTCGCGAAGCCATCGACCGGTCACACGAGAAACCGCATCGCAAGCCCTCAAGCGCATGCTCATGATGCCATCGGATTCATCACCGTGCAACGACGTCGTCCACAAGAACGGCATAGGGCGCGGAGACCGTCTCGACCCATTTCTGCATCGAACGACGAACGGCGCTTGCGATCACTCTCCAGAGATTCTCAGCGGCATCTTCCGGGCTCGAACCCTACCAGAGCGCTCTCGAAAGTTCCCGTTCCTGAGGATCTCTTGCATCCCGCGCCTTCGCTGCATTGCGCTGGGAAGACGGCGGCGATAACGCTCGTCCGAGCTTTGTGCGTTGGGCAGAGGAGGTACACGACCATGCTCGCTCGCCATGACGCCCCTCAGTCCTCGCCCAGATTCCCGTTTACCGAGCCTCACTAATGTGCTGCGCACCATTTCAACCGTATCTGCGTTGCTAATCTTGTGGACACGGTTGCCTGGTATATCTTCCATGACTCATGGATGTCTTCCATGCATCTGTGCTGCTCCCCAGCTCGTGCCGCCGGTATCGTAGTATGCTTTCTCCTCGCCTCGAGTTCCGCGGATATCCTCACTGTGCTCGGTGCCGATTACACGTCCCTTGCGACCTCCGGCCCACCCATGGACGAAGCACACCGGTTGCTATACCGTCATGTCCCTCGACCGTCCTCGACATGGCCAGTTCGTTATGCACGATACCAGACAGACACTCGATCGCGGCTCTTGATTCTTATCTCCTAGGACATACGTTGCATTCAATTCAAGAGGAAATACACTCACTTACCGTGTGTTCTGATCTCATTCAGCCGCCCACCGCAAACAACCGACACGCAACGTGTCAGTGAACGGGTGTCACCATATCAGGCATGTCATCTTTGGGTGTGAATGACCACCTCATCTCCGACCCCCGTCATGGCTTGCTATCTGCACCCCACCCCTCACTTCACATTCGCCAAAGGGTTCATGAGTGCGCCTACCTGGGCGGTCAAAGCATGCCATCATACAGATATGCGATCAACACGGTCCTGGACGCAGGACGTACCATTGTCCTCTTTTTGCGGCCGCCGTTGCCAAGTTGAAGGTAAGAACGTCGACGTCCTCTCGCCAGTGATTCTGGACCCCGCTACTCACTACTTGGAGGTCTTGCGGGTAGTGGACACTCCTACGACGTTACCCCCGGTCGGGATTTCACGTTACTTCATCTTGCTATGATTACTGCGACCGCTTCCCATCCTCTATTGCGTTCTGCAGTTCGTCGGTCCTTGACGGGTCGACAGCAATCGGGCTTTAGGTCCTGCGGCCGTCTTTTCTCGGTCCACTGCTATTCTTGGTGGATGACCAGAGGCTGCTGCGACTCCTTCCTCTTGCGCTCGCAAGCTTTCGGCGCAAGCCTCGGCCCTCGAACTCGATAGCGGATATCATTCCAAGCCAGTATCAGTGGCGAAGGTTCTCCCGCGTTGTGGTCAATGCCCGTCATACTTTCTCCCTTCCAAGCCTCGCCCCTTCCGATCGACTGGGTTGCATACCGAAGCCCGTCTGTCCGTATATTTTCCGGCTAAACATATGATGAAGGACATGGAAACTGCTCATGTCACTGTGAGGGCCGCGGCTTATCGTTCAACTTCGAAGCCGCATGTGCCCAGCGCGGTCCCTACATACGCGTGTTTTTGACTCTGCCGCAGTTCACGGGTGCTGACGTCGCGAGGCCCATCTTGCGATGCGAACGTTGAGATACAAGCGGGGTAAGTGGGCTTCGCGGAAGGACGTGAAGGTGCCTAGAGACTTTCCTCGCTGGAGGTGGTGAGATGCCTTCATGCATGTGCACAAAATTTGAGCTTCGCACTGCCTGCTGCATCTGAACTGAAGCAGATATGTATTTGAGAGGAAGACACATGTAAACCCTACTAGGGGGTTATGGCGTACTGCGGACGGTGTAATCAAGACGATCATCCTCGACCTCACCCACGGCTTCACAATGACAAGTAGCGTTGCGTTGTATGCTGTGGAGGAGAGCAAGTACTGAGAGCGGCGCCACCCCCGGAGCTGTGTTGCATTGTTAGGAAAGTTCAATCAATGCCCTGGACATGGCACACCAGCATCCACATGCACGAGTCCGGCTCTTGGGAAGCCGACTTCCTCGACTGGCCGACGGGACTTTGGCCTATATATATGCTTCTCGAGATCCTCGCTATTCATATACTCTGGCAATCTCTAGGCTGTATGCACAGGCGCTCCTCATTCAACTATCGAGGCACACGGAACTCGTCCTTGTTGTCGGTCTACATCCCTGCTGCGATAGCTCTCCGCATGTCAAGGGACTGCATGGCCCCTGCTTTTACCATTGCGTCCGACTCCCATCCGGCTCGAAAAGTCCAAAAGCCCGCGGGGTGCTGTGAAATGGGGGGGCACATCCGGCTTTCGAGAAGGGCGTCAAGAGGACGTACATATTTGATGCGAACAGCCTTGAGGGATCCCTTCAACATTCTCCGGATGTACATAAAGGTGAGGTGACGGCTATATCATCCCCCTTCCTCCCCCAGGACCGCCGACCACCCTTTGCCTGCGCACCAACGACTTCACCGAGCACGATGAGCCAATCCTCAGGCGAGCGGTCCCGCCCGTGCCGACATTGACGTACTGATCGGCTCACACATGTCGTTCCAGATGCGTACGAAGCTGCCTCGGCACTGGCTTCCGACATCGTCGCGTCATCAAACGAGGAGGCGAGGCAGGCGTTCTCTCGCCACCTCGCTAACCTTGATCAACGGATCACCGAAATTAAACTTCGCTGCGCGTCCCTTGCGCCGCGGGAGCACGACTTGGCGACCTGCTTGAGCCTCTCGCGGAGCGTCGTGGAGCGCTTTTCCCTCTGCGGAGACATGCAGGAACTGAACGAAATCATCGCCTTCCTGCAAGAGGTCCTCTTCCCGGACCCGTCGATATGCACCCACCCGGACTACGAAGACCTCATCGACTGTTTAGCGACGGCGATGTGCTGTCGCTTCGAGCGAACCGCGCAGGACGAGGACGTAATGGAAGCGATCGAGCTGCACAAGGCCAGCCTGCAGCTTCGCGCCGCACACGAGCTCGACCCGTCTCTTTCGCTGTGCGGGCTGGGAATCGCCCACCACACGCTCGGCGTGGCGAGCCGACACGGCTACGACGACTACGACGAGCTCGCCCTCGGATTTCTCGACAAGGCGCTTGCGAGCATGCCCCGCGACCATCCTCTCCGCTCGAAAGCATCGAGCGGTCGCAGTCTCATCCTGTCTCGCACACACGACGGATTCGAAGACGCGGAGCAGGCGCAGCTCAAGGCAGTTACTGCGGCATGCGAAGCATTACGGCTTGCCACGCGTGGTCGCGCCGAACATGCACTCTCTATAATGGCGGCATACAAGGCTCTTGAAGGCGTAATTGCCACGCATCCGAACACGGGTCTCACACAAAAAGACCCGATATCACAAGCTCTGCATTCCATACGGACTATGCTCGGGTGCTTGACACATCCACGTTATTTCGCACTCGCTCAAACCTCCAACGACACGCCCAATCATATTTGTCAACGATACCCTAGCAAGGAACACAGGGAACCCGGAGAAGCTCGTCTCTGAATGTTTGAGGGCGGACCATCTTGAGTGTTCTGCCGTAGCTCCTTTCTTGATTTCACACAGTGCTCATTGTCTGGGACTACATGTGTCGTTTCTGCCGCGGTGGTGAAACGGGAAAGGTACACACATAGTGTGTACCACGTTACTGTAGTGTTTATACCACCGCGCACATGGACACATTGGGGGCTTTCACAGGAAACCGGAATTGGTAGATGTACTGAAATGTCCGTTCAAACCGCTTTTAATATGAACTGCCTGCCTGATCGTCCATCGAAGCGGCATTCGCCTTCACGGTCGTGGGTGGCTGTGCCCTGACGTTGGTCTTGATGGATGGTCCTTGTCTTTGCTGTTTGTTCACGTCTCGTCCCCTGGTCTGCTGAAACTCGTGTTCCTGCTTTTGGTTGCACTTGAGTCATCCCACATGCGGTTGTCACCGGCATTTAGCTTTATATCATCGATTGCAGCAAGCTTACCATGGCACGAGACCAGTAATTCCGAGTCGGTACCGCAGCCTGGTGGCCGACCATCATTGCGATTTGGGCTGCGACATGAACATGCGGTATCTCCCTCAGGACACGTCTCATTCTCCGACATATCCCGCAGCCCAGACCTCTACGCGCTGCGTGCGCACAGTGTCAAGCGCCAACGACTCCACTACTTCAATGCGGAGCAATACTTATTGGCGAGGAGAAGTCGACTGCATGTTACCAGCAAAGATAACCCTTGGGAGGAGGACGAGATCATAGGGCCGGACGTGGAGAGCCGGGAGACCCTTCTCTTGTTAGCGAAGATGACGAATAACGCATACCTCAATCCTGGGGAGACCGGCTGGTATGACCTGGGAGAGGGCTGGAGTGCTGTACGTGCGTCGCCACGGTCTTTCCTCCTCTGAATCGACGAACTGATCTGACATTGATCCAACGTTTGTAGGATTATCCCATAGGATGGGAGCCTGACGACGATGGCTTTAGGGGTCATGTCTTCGCAACTCCGGATAACTCGACTATCGTGGTTTCCATTAAGGGTATGTTCTTGTATCCAACATTCTCCCTACCTCCGATTCTGACCCCCCTCGTAGGGACATCGGCCGGCTGGTTAGGTGGTGGTGGTTCGACGACGAAGAAAGACAAACTGAACGACAACCTCCTGTTCTCCTGCTGCTGCGCATACATCGACTTCACCTGGACGCCCGTCTGTGATTGTTACAGAGGAGGATGGAAATGCGACCAGAACTGCCTGGAGAAGGCGTTGATAGACGACAGCCTATTTTATCCCATCGGAACTGTAAGAATCCAGACCCCCCTTTCGCGCAGATGACGAGCACTAACGAACCACAGAATCTCTATAATAACATAACATATCTCTATCCGGACTCCAACATTTGGTTAACAGGGCACTCTCTCGGTGGTGCCCTTGCATCTCTCCTTGGCGCCACCTTCGGCATGCCTGTAGTGACGTTCGAAGCCCCAGGCGAGAAACGAGCCGCAAGGCGCTTACATCTACCTATCGCTGTGCGTCATCACGTCTTCATGATTTTCGGCAGCCCGCCCAAACTAACCTCCCGACGTAGCCATCGATGCATCACATCACCCACGTCTACCACACCGCAGACCCGATCGCGATGGGCACCTGCAACGGCATTGTTTCCTCCTGCGCGATTGCAGGGTACGCGATGGAGTCCCGCTGCCACCTCGGCAAGACAATCGTGTACGACACTGTTAGCAATCTCTCCTGGTCGGCGAACATTCGCACGCACGGTATCGTGCGCGTTATCGAGGACGTGCTTGGTAAGCCATGGAAGGACGCAGAGGAGCGCGGGCGGGAGGTACCCGAGCCCAAAGAGGATGCGGAGGACTGCGAGGAGACCGAGTGCTACAGCTGGGATTTCGGCGATTATCCACCCAAGAAGAAGTCGGAGGAAGAGCCGGAACTGGGCCGAGGGAGATGTGGGCCCTAGACTCGGTATCGGTACCTCGTATTCGTACGGTAAGGGCGGTGCTTCATACACGGCTAGGTGACATGTAGGGATAGAATTTCTAGGATGGGCGTAGGAATGGGCATGATTACGAGGAAGACAGAATATATCTGGTGAACACCTGAAAAAACCAATCCGTGCACCCAAGAAAAGAAAAGCCTGCTGGCTATACCAGCCCTCTACCGGCCATTAAGATTGTATCCAACACCGCCCGAGTGGCTTCGCGCCAAAACCAACTCAGCCCGGTTCTGCCAGAGCTCAGGCGTCTCTTCACTTCGTCAGCGGTGGTCGAATGACTGATCTGCCCAGGCGAAGCTTTTTTGCGGCGTATCCGAATGGCAACCGAAACCAAAGGAAGGATGACGAAGACGAAGATGAAGGAGAGAATATGTGTTTTCGAGTTAAGGTAGGGTTTCAAAGACTCCTTTAGCAGGGCGAGAATCGTGGGCGGGCGGCGCGATATGGATGTAGGTTCCACGGGTGCCGGCGGCAGGTGAGGCAGTCCGCGGCCCTGCAAGCCCGACGAAGATGCGGCGGAGGAACGGCGGTCGTTTCCAACGCGTGCGTCGGCTCTGGCTTTCCCCTGTCGCTGCTGGGACGGACTGGGGGCATGGGAAGCGGTGCCGTTCGGCTTCGGCGCGCCCGTCGTCCCCTGCGTGAGCGCGCTCAGCCCGTGTGGGTGTGTGCTAGGTCGTACAGTGCGAGTAGATGTAGATGATACGGAGGAAGACGACGTGGATGTTGAGGGTGCGGGAGAAGGCGGGGACCGGGTGCCGTTTATCGCCGTAGCTGGGGTGGGTGTAGGTGTCCGTGAGGGAGAAGGTGTGGATGCGCGGGAGGCCACTTGACGCTCATGCAACGCGTCCAGGGATGCCAACAAGCTCTAGAGGTGAAAGGTGAACAAATTGTGCGCTATAATGAAGATTGGCGGCTTGCCTGCTTGACTTCTGGGGATAACTCCCTTTGCCAAGCGAGAAACTCCCGAGCGTATCCCCATTGTTCCAGTCTCGGGAGTATCTCCAAGACGTATATCTCCACGACCTTGCGATAGCCCTCTTCATCTGATGCAGTAGTATCAACTTCCACCCGTCTGCTCAACCAATCCTCGGCCATGGTCCTACCACCATCTGCACAGGATAGCTTCAGAGCAGACAGAACCAAGGTAAGGAGGATCTGTGCGGGCAAGAAGCCGGGGTTTGGAGAGACGGCTTGTGCGGGCGTAAATAGCTGGACAGAGCGGTGATAGAGCTGTGAGACTAGCGCAGGGGCTGACAGCATAAGGTTCGCTCGTAATGGTGAGGGCAGGGTCCGCGGCTCGTTGCCGAGGACATGGGGCGGCGCAACGTAGATGGTAGTCTCAAGCGTAATGCGTAGTATATCCCATTTCTTCCGGTAGGGGTCTAGCGAGTCCGAGTATGAAGAAGGAGGGGAAAGGATGGAGAATGCGGAAGAGAGCAAGGAATGGGTCAGCGCGACGTCGCGGTGGAGGAATGCCTTGGCGGCGCGATTGTACAGCGAACGCAGCGTCGCTTCGGTAGAGGTTTCAGGCGACGAGGAGGCCTTGACGGCGATCGAGCTCGACGACGCGGGGGACATCGTCGTCGTTGTAGAAGACATGGTCGGGCAGGCGGCGAATGGAGAGCCGGCAATTGCACTCGCGAAGGTCGCGGTTGCGACCCCGGATTCACGTGAGAAACGTCGGCTCTTGGGAACAGTGAACCCCATTCTAGGGGCTGATTTTCACTGAACGGGGACGGTCATGAGCAGCCTCATCTCGTCCCTGGCATGGTAAGTTTCAACAAGTCGTATTATGATCATGTACTAAGCGATCTGACAGGGTGAAGCGAGGAGCTGCTGCAAGGCACCCGAAAAAATATGTGCTCGATGATCGTGAACTCGAGCGCGTGAGCGCACTCGCCAGGATTGAGCTTGAAGATGCCAAGACAGAACTAGCGAGGGCGCATGAGGCGGCAAAGTCCATGGGCAAAGGCGCGGAGGGCACCGAGGCCGATGATACGGGCGAGGAAGAGGATGACGAGGATGCATGGGTCGAGTAAGTGTTCACACCCTGACGCGGCATGGGTGCAGGAGGCTTAAAACAGACTTTGCCAGTGAAGATGATGATGCAATGGACCAGGATGACCCTGCACCAAAACCGAAGGATGATCTTTCACAGTACAATCTGGACGAATACGATGACGATGGGCCAACCGCAGGTTAGTCACCACCGATTATGAATAACCTCGTTATCAAGCCGACGTGTAGATCTTGGCCCTTTCAGCAACATCAAGGGCTTACAATATTATCGGGACAATCAAGAAGATCCGTATATAACGCTCAAAGAAGTGGGTCATTATCCACCTGCATTTCTGTGCATTTGCCTAACCTAGGGTCTACTCAGGAAGAGGAAGACAACGAGCGCGAAGAGCTCGAAGTATACCCTACCGACAACCTCCTAGTCACCGCCAAAACCGAAGAAGAGGTCTCGCAACTCGAGATCTACGTCTACGATGACTCCTCCGAGAACCTCTACGTCCACCACGACCTTATGCTCCCCAACTTTCCCCTCTGCCTCGAATGGCTCGATTTCCCTCCAACGACTTCCTCCTCGTCTGCCGCCGAAGCGTCTCCCCTGGCCGGCTTCGGCAACTACATCGCAGTGGGCACGCTCGACCCGGAGATCGAGGTGTGGAGTCTGGACGTCGTCAACCCCGTCTACCCAGACGCCGTCCTCGGCCGACCGGACATCTCGAACGCGCACGTCCCAACTCCTCTTGGCACGGGCAAGAAGAAGAAGAAGAAGACTAAGCACAGGCCGGTAGCCAGCGGGTGGCACGTCGACGCCGTACTCGGGCTGAGCTGGAATCGGACGCACCGCAACCTGCTCGCAAGCGCGTCGGCGGATCGCACCGTCAAGTTATGGGATCTATCGCGGTGCAGCCCGGGGAGGGGTGGCGACGAGAACATGGAGGACGGCGAGGCAAGCAGCGGGGGCGCCATCAGGAGCTTTGAGGTGCACAAGGATAAGGTGCAGGCCGTGCAGTGGAACGAGCGCGAACCGACGGTGCTGCTGACGGGGTCGTACGACCGCACGGTGCGCACATTCGATTCGCGTGCGCCAGACGCGGGAGTGGGTGCTGTTGTCGGGGCGGATGTGGAAGCGCTGAGGTGGGATCCGTGGGAGGCCCATTCATTCTATGTGCGTTCCAACCTGGAAACTACATCGAGATCGTCTCCTAACGCCCGTTGTTTCTTAGGTGTCACTGGAAAATGGCATGGTCCTCAACTTTGACGCGCGCACGCTGCCGAGCGACCTTTCTTCCGCACCGTCCTCCGCTCGCTTCATGCTGCAGGCGCACGACGGCGCAGCTTCTGCTATTGACGTGAACCCACACATCCGGGGATGCATCGTTACCGGTGGCACGGACAAGATGGTGAAGGTTTGGAACGTCACCGAAGGCGAGAAGATGAGCGTCAGCCTCGTCACTTCGCGCGATCTCGGCGTCGTATGTCTCTATCTGTCCCTTCATCCGATCTGCTCGCTGAAACGCCTCGTCATACTTACAGGGCAAAGTGTTCGCCGCATCGTTCTCGCCCGATGACCCGCTCACGCTCGCCGCCGCGGGCTCGAAGGCGAAGCTGCAGATCTGGGATGTAGGCGCGAACTTTGGTGTACGCAAAACGTTCGCGCAAAAGCTGAAGCAGGCCGGCAAGGAGTTGAAGGAGAGAGAGAAGAGCAGCGGAGGCGTCGTGGGCGTGGAAGACGATGATGAAGGGAGTGAGAGGGGTGGCGGAGTGGACGAAGATTGAGGGCACGTTCATGTCTTCGCAATCGCTGTACCCGTCCATGTTCACATGCGCTGTCTGGGAATGGGCCTTGGCGCGATATATGTACCCCGAGCCAACGTTCAGATTTAGATGACCGGGCCCTCAATGTGATAATCGACGATCTCTATAGTGAGAACTACGGAGGTTTGATCTCTGCTAGATCCTGAGGGACAGAGATGCAGAACCACGCGCGTTACTTTTCTTCTCTCTAGGCTTGTGAGCCGTCTCTGCCTTATACAAGAAAGTAAAATTCCTTAGGGCTCGAGGATAATGCCGCATAACAATAATGGAGACTGCAACATTAATACTATCATACACACAGATCGCGCTCCTTATCCGTCGTTTCACCAGTCGTACTCACGCCCCGCCACCCTACCCTTGTGCTTTGACATGACTATCGTATCCACGGTGCCTTCTTCGTTCCTGATTATGCGAGCCGTTTTATCATCCGCCAACCACTCGGCTACTCGGCTACTCAGCGAAATGGTCCCAAGCGTGCGGCACCCATTCGCCAAGTCCAGCGCGACTCGTTCAAAATTATCTGGCGTGTAAAGGGGAGCTGGATCGTAAGTATCCACGATCAAGTCCCGTTGCTTGGGATCGTCCTCTACCCATAACCGGCTGACTTCAAAGAACGGTTTCTGGGTGTAATTCTGGGGGCCAGAGATGCTTAGGTGCCTTAGCTTCGGCATGAGGGACAATGATGATGAGATCGCGTCCTGTCCGATGACGATTGGAGCCTTGTTCAACGACGAGGAGTCAGATTGCTCACCAATCGATCGCAACTTGGCCCCATCAACTCCAACTCTTCAAGGTTTGGAGCAGCTTTAGCAACGCTCATGACGTAGTTGCCGTCGAAATAGCGTTGGAATTTCTTGCGGCTCTCCTGGGAGGGGTGACCGCGCTCGTCTTCTCGCCATCCGTGACCATTCTCTGCTTTGTTCTTGCTATTGGTCGATGCTCGCAGTTGAATACCCAGAGACCGCAGACGTGGTAGTATACCTCCTGAAACCCTTGTGCGTAGGAGCCATACAGCTTGTGAGTTTGATGTCTCGAGAAGATCGAGAGTAGTCAATTGGTGTCCGATATGCGGCAAGACAGATCTGGCGTTTACGAATGTACACTGGTATAATCCAAATAAACTCCATATTCGATGACTAACACCTGAACGCACCTTAAGCACCTTCAAGTTTGGCAGCAACCCGCCGTGGAACCCAACAAACCAGGAATCGCCCATGTAAATGCCGATCTCGACACGGGTCAACAGCGGATGTCGCTCGAAGAACTCTACGGTGTCCAGATCACACCCTCCTGCTTCCAGGATGAACGAACTGAGGCGAGGGAATGTCATATCCAGCAGAGACAGCTTCTCATCAATCACGATGTCGCCTGGGCTAGCTAACTCCAACGCTTGCAAATTATCGCGTATGATGGGGTCGCCGAGCCGACGCATCAGGCCAGTCATGTCAATGGCAGCACTTTCAATTGAGATGTGATGCAGCTACAATATCGCGATCGTTCAATCTTGTGAAACAAATGACGATCATGGGTGCTTACCTTCAGCTGAGAACAGGCCGCAGTGGACACGGTCTCTGGATCATCTCCCTGACCGATAAGTCCCACCAACACCAGTTCGCTCAGATGAGGGCAGCGAGTCTCAAGGCATTTCCAGAAAGGCGGGTCAAGCTGATGAAACTCTAGTTCCTCGCCCGATTCTCCGTCCCATTGCCACCCGCCCTCCAGGATGATGGCAAGAGATCGGAGCTGGGGGAAGACTCCATTCGATATCGAGATGTGGAACTGAGCAAGGACATCAACCTCTGCGGTCGACGTTCGCGGAGTCGAAATGATAAGGTTTTGCACGTAATGCCCGAGGGGTGGTCGGTCTGTATTCTCCTGCTCGACCGACATTCGAGTAATGGCTGCCCTGCAAAGTTCTTCCCCTTCGATTCGTACATGCCTGTAAAGCAAATGAGGTATGACGATCGTGTTGACACGCCGGCACGTCAATGACAGCGATAAAAGCGTCTGCGGTTTCCACGTCAATGGAATATGCTCGGAGACGGCATCTATGAGCTCTGGGAGAAGCGTCTGCATGTCTGGGCCGGATAGAAGGCGTTGGGTGTAGTGGCCAGAGTCAAGAAGTGGTACACCTGATTTGCAACTCCCCCCGAATCTTATACTTGAGTTTTGCCCGGTGATCCCGGAAAGGCTGATGTTTCAAATGTTATACCTCCTTGCCACCCGTTTTGATGGGAGACTATCACTTTCCAAGACTTTGCGATTCAACGTCCAGCGTCAAAAAATCCTGACATCGATAGACAGCAGTCCTCCGCGAGTGCATAGTCTGCAAATTATCTCAAACCCAGAAAATAGCGAATAATTGTACATCAAAACGACATAATTGAGCGGCTGCACTACTCCTACAGATATCCCATACACATTCAGCATCTGACATTGCGAGTTTGTGACCACGCCGCATCACTTCTTCTTGGGCTGTTTCTTGGGGACATGGACATCTTGAAACTTTTCGGTGTTGATCGAGTGATTCAACTTGGCCTTAGTCTACGTAGAGAGTTTACTCAGTGCTCACGATGCTCGATAGCATTGAGTACTCACGGTCTTGGGCGGGGAAGCATAGTTCTCAGGAATGCGCACCCCGCCGATTGTGCTAGACCCGCCCTTCGGTGGTCCGTTAATCTGAATCTGGAGCTGGCTCTGGTATCCAGACCCTTTCGAAGGCGTCTCCTGCCTGTCCAAACGGTATCCCTCGTTTTTACCCTTGGTAGCCTGCGTGGCGATAGTCATTTGCTTTCCAGCAGCGGCCCCTGTGACGAGCTTATTGTCCGGGATACTGGCAACGAAATCCTTCGCCATCCTCTTCTCCTTATCGGAAGTACGTTTGATACCGCGCTTCAACGATATCAGCGTCAGGTCGAATCGAATACAAGAGGAAAGATAATTACTCCCGACATGATGAAGGAGGGCAGGCAAGCTAGCCAGCCTGAGTGGATACGACCATCGAGTCCTGGCAATTATACTGATTCAGAAGAGAGTTTTGCCGCAGACACAAAGTTAGCACTTAGATAGCAACTTAACTCTGACTGTGCTGTTGTATTTGACTTCTTGCGCGCCCAAGGTATCATGTGTCGACATGATAATGGCCTACTTGGGTTAAGCACTTACTTTATGAGATCTATCAGAGTGCCATTGGTGAGTTATTGCCAGTTTGTGTGAGATACCGAACTCATCAAGCCACCCCATATGACTTCTATCATCCCCATTGTGACAGCGCTCATATGGGCGGTCCGCTGTCCACGTATCGGTCTTCCTAAGTAGTGTAAGTAGGAGATACACAGAACCCGATCAGGTCTCGCCGAGTTAGCGACAGCGCCATCACACAGCACACCACGCCCACGAAACTAGAAAGGAGTCATCACCGATAAATGGAGTTACCCAGTGTTCACGGCATCCAGCAAGGCAGCGCTGGAGTCTTCACAGAAGTTATAGGGGCCCCACGGCGTCAACACAGAGCAACCGAGACATCCACGCCGCTAGGCAAATGTGCAAACAGCACAACTGTGGACTGCTGCCAGTGTTTTGGCGACTCGAGTGGCTATAAAATTTCATTGTCAGCATGGCGCAATACGGACCCATATTTAGAGAGTCTTACTGGTATATACAGCATCGAGAAAGCACCCGCGGATGCCAGGTGCAGAGGGTCGAACGACGTGCTTGAGGCTGTGAGGTCGTGGGGACATTTTCTCTTGATGGCGGTGTAGACGCGCTTGGAGCAAGCATGTTCATTCCTGGCCTGCGAAAGCGTCACAACGCGCAGATCTGCTGTTTTTTTGGGTTTTTACACGCGAGTAGAGACTCCTACCGTTCTTCAGAACGAAACAACGGGAAAAAAAAGTGGACACATCCGGAATTGAACCGGACACCTCTCGCAGCCGTCTACCAGTTCCAAGTCTGGAAATATGCTAAGCGAGCGTGATAAACCAACTACACCATGTGCCCTTGTCAGGGAGACTGCAGCAGGATTATATTTGTATGCTGATCGCGGTACACTTCGGCTGTCGTCAGCTCCGCATATGCCACCCTCTGAAGCAACCTGGCAGGTGCCCTGAACATGAAATAAACAAGCAACGAAGGTGGGAGATAATGCGGGGAGAGAAGGGGGTTGGGTGCTGAAACCGGGTGACGACAATGCAGGCGTCAAGCCTACCACGTGTTACCGCTTGGTCTCCGCATCCACTCAAAGACGGTGCACCGTACCTCCCGCTCTCCTTCCCGACGCCCAACAAGCGCGCCGATCAACGCGTACCGACGCTTGTTTCCTTTCTTAGGCGCCCAAATCGCGCCCCCCTCCGCCGCCCTCGTCGCCCCGGTAACTCTTGCCGGCGATTGATTACTGGATCCCGTCCATGACCGCGCTTGGTCCAAGCACAAGCCCACAGTGGGACAGCCGCAACCGGGGCTTCATCTCACCGTCTCAGCTCCAACAGATGAAGCGCGCGAGCCTTGCTCAGTCACAGTCCCCACCACCGCCTCAGAGTCAGACAACCGACCCGGTAGCCTCGACCTCCGCCCCGAATCTCGGCCAACAGCAACAACAGCAACAACCACAGAAACCGGCATTACTGCATCGTCATTCCCAGTCGCATTCGCGCGCCACGTCTTTCTTTTCGTTCCGGAGCCGGACGAGCCTCGACGGTCAACGGGAGCAGCCTACTAACACCTCCGGCGCGAACGCGCCCCAGCCTCCCCCACCCAATCCCCGTCTCAGCCTTGCAGGCCCCTCCGAGCCCCCAGCAGGTCCCATGCAGCCTTCTCGCCAACCCACCGTCGGGCCCGGCCCTACCGTGCCTGGACAGCCTCCCCCACCACCGCTCCACGCCGAGATACGATCGGTTGTGCAGCTCACGGTCGCGCACGCTCACAAAGTCTACTTCTCTGGACCTCTCGTCCGAAGGATCGAGCGCCAGCCGGATGGCCAGAAGCCCGCGAAGGATGAGGGGTGGCAGGAGGTTTGGGCGCAGCTTGGGGGGACAACGCTCAGCATCTGGGATATGAAGAAGATCGAAGAGGCGAGTCGCGAGGGGCGCGAGGTCCCGCCGACGTACGTGAATGTGACCGATGCCGTGAGTTTGTCCCTCATTTCCATCACACACGACGAACCAACGAGTGACGCGAATATCTTCCTTGTAGTTTGTCCAGGTTCTCGGCGCCGTCACCCTCCCGTCCGTGAACGGTGCGCCCGGCCAGCGCTACCAGAACGTGATCACGCTCAACACCGCCGGATCCAACCTCCTCCTCTTCTCCTGCCCCTCCCCGGCTGCGCTCGTCTCCTGGGCCGCCGCGCTCCGTCTTACCGCGTGGGAAAAATCGCGTTTGGAGGAGATCTACACCGCGCACCTGATTCGCATCACGCTGAACGACGGTCGGAAGGCCCCCAGCCCGCTCGTAGGTGGTAGGATGGAGGGATGGGTCCGTATCCGGCTCGCGGGCCAGACGGACTGGAAGCGCCTCTGGATGGTGTTGACCGCGGGCACGGGCGGGTCGGGGGAGAAGGAGGGAATGGAGCGCCCGGCGAGTCCGAGCCAGAGCCGAAAGCGACGCGTGTCGAACATATTTTCGCGCGACCACGACGCGTCGAAGGCGCCCCAGGCGGCACCGCTGCTTGCGCTGTATGCGTCGCAGAAGCCGAAGGACCGCAAGCGCCCGCTGCTCACGATGCGCGCCGTGAGCCAGGCGTTCGCGGTTTATCCAGAGCGGCCAGAGTTGATCAGCCGGAGTACGCTGATGAAACTTGAGGGCCTGTTCGGTGATGAAGATACGGCAGCGGCGATGCGCGGGCGCGAGGGATGGATACTCGTCATGCCCGAGCTGGAGGGTGGGAACACGCAAGCGAGCGAGATGCTCAAGTGGATGATTGGTGCGTGCCGCTGTGCCACGGATCGGGCACGTCCATTGACGAGCGATTTCCAGGCATACACGACGCGTTTGAACTTTATGGGCGGCCGAAGGGGTACACCTGGGACCCTCGGGATCCCGTTAGCATGATGTTCGCGTACCCTGTCGGACCCGATAAAGATGTGAGCATGGATCTCTCTGCTTTATGTCGATTGAACCCACCTTTCTTCTCCAGCTCCTCTTCCTCGATCGCGAAGTTGCAGAGGCGCTCGATCCACGGGACGACCGCACCTCCAGCATTCGCACCAACCTGCGGAATTTGATGGCCGCACGTATGACGAGCCCCACCGCCCCGGACCCGCGAGCATCCGGACGCCCGAATTCTCCGCCTCGCCTCCCCCCACCAACGACTACCTCGCCCTCTGGCGCGCCGACGTTGCCACCGATCGGTGATATGGGTTCCGCTGCACCACCGCCGCCAGCGGAGAGGCAGAACTCGTCGGGGATGCTGCCGCCACTATCATTTCAGGCTGAACGAGCGGCGTCGCCCCCGCGCTTTACGACTTCGCCGCAAATGATGGCCAGTTCTCCGCCTCCCCAGCAGCCGCCTCAGCAACCGGTGCAACCGCTATCGCCTACGTCACCCCACAGCAGAGGGGCCCTGACGCCGATCACGGAGAGAAGCCTCAGTCAATCGTGGTCGGGCGATCAGCATGGCGCACCGGGTTCCGGAGATCAAGGCCCATCACGCGGAGCGTCCGGGCAAGGGAGAAGCTCTACTACGCCGGCAACCGTCCTCGAAGAAAAGGAAGAACCTGAGACAACGTCTTTCACGAAGAGCCCGAGCCCTGTCGCGCAGGATTACTTCGGCAACGCTCGGCCGTCTGCGGACCAACTCAGCACCCGGCCGTCGACGGACAGCGTCGCCAATAGGCCCTCGCTTGACAGCTTGCCATCTCGCTTGGTATCTCCGAGCTCCCCTCACGGGGCGAACGGCGCATATGCGTCGTCGTTCTTCGATCGCCCGCGCTCGCCCGCGTCCGTGCTCACGTCGCCGTACTCAAACATGGGCCACTCGGGCCTTGGCGGCTCACCGCAGTCGCGCATGACCGCTCCAGGCGGCGCTTCGGGCACGGGCGTGGAGTCGACAGTGAGCCTGGTGACGCAGACGCACGGCGACGACGCGAGTCGGCACTCGCTTCACGCGACGCTGCCGTTGTCTCCGCGTTCGCAACATTCGCAACTCTCGGCTCAGAATCAAAGCGCGGGACAGACACAGCCTCCACAGCAGCAGCAGCCCCGCACGCCTAGTCCAGACGAGCCGCCGCCAAGGGACCTGTTCCAAGAGGCGGGCGCACTGTATTACATGCGGCAAATGGACGAGGCTGAAGGCCAGGCGCCTGCAGGCACGACTGCGCCCCGCTTCGGCGCTGCGCCTCCTCCGTCTCAGTTCGAGGAAGACGAAGACGAGGATGAGGAGGACGACCGGTACAGAGACGACTCGCCCACTCGCCCACCGGCGCAAATCCCGCCCCGTCTCGCGGGCAGCACGTCGCCCGGCGCCGGCGACTCGCAGCCCCCGCGCCGCGGCACGCCGATGGGCTTCGAGCGGCTGCTGAACCAATCGCCGGCCGCGGCTTCCGACACGTCCGGCGGCTCGGCCGGCGGACACCGGACTTCGCTTGCGCACCGGCCTTCTGGCGCACGTGCGCCTCCCACGTCGACGCGTCGGCTGTTGCAAAAAGAGGCGACAGGCGCGTCAGTGCAGCCACCACAACCTCCCCGAGCGCCCTCCATGTCGACGATGACGCCGTCCGCGTCTGCGAACACGACCGAGTCTGAGTCGGTACCGACGAGCCAGTCTGGATCGGGCATGGCGCATAAGCCCAGCTTCGAGGCACCGGATGACGCTGCGGACGTGCTGGCCGCACTCAACTTCCTGGAGCAGGAGCAACACGAACAACAACCAGCAGAAGCATCGTCGCCGCCGCCGCCGGGACGGGCCTCTGCGTCTCCGCCACCGCCGCAGCCAAAGATCGTCACACCAGTGATACGTGCGCAGTCGCCAGAGTCGCCAGACAGGAACGGGCAGTACCGGTCGTCGTTCGCGCCGTCGAAGACCGCCGCGGAACGGAAGGCACGTGCGCAGGCACAGCAGGCCGCGCACGAGGCGGCGGTGCACAAGCCGGGTAGGGTGAACGGGAAACGGGCGATGGCGCAGCCGAAGAAGGGCGGATGGGCAGAGAGCAGCGAGGAGGAGGAGGAGGAGGACGAGGATGAAGATGACGAGGAAGTGGACTCGGACGCCGAGCCGCAGGCACGCAGGGCGCCCGCGTCGGTCAGCGAGCATCAGCCCAGTACGCATCCGTCGATTGCGCATGGGCAGAGCGGGTACTCGCCTGCCGGATCGTCCGCCGATCTGCACGCACCACGTGCGCCGCGTCACCTCCCTCAAGTGCCTGGTAGTCGCGTACCTAGTGAGTGGCCACGCCATTCCATTCCAGATTTTTTTTGTTGACCACGATATAGTGAACGGCTCTGAAGAACATATGCCAATGCCTCCTCGCTCTCGCATGCCCTCCGACCAGATGACGATGGAGACCGGTCGCCGCACACATTACGAAGAACCCCCCAGGATGCAAGCCCAGCAGCAGCACCTCCGTCCCCACTCGGAGTATCCTAACCCGGGTGCCACTCGTCAATCCATATGGACCCAGGTGCTCGAGCCCGGAAAGCCGGCTCAGCCGACGGACAACGGAAGGGACACTTTCGTGCAGATCGAGGCTCCGGAACAGACCATGACGAAAGCCTTCACCCCCCACGGCCTCCTCTCCGCCGGTTTGCAGGACAAGCAGGATCGCTCGGCGAAGCGCCAGGAAGAGCTCGCCCGCGAGACCGGGGCGTCGCTCGTCAATGTCGAGGGCAAGCCGCCGCCGCCGCAGGCAGGCTTGCTCGGCGCCATCACCGCGCACGAGCGGGAGCGCAAGCGCGAGGGTGGCTTTGGGGCCGCGCTGACGGAACGCGAGCGCGAGAAACGTGCGGCGGAGGAACGGCAACGCAAGCTCGACGAATTTCAACGACAGCAGCTGGAGCAGATGCAGCAGGGAGGGTCGATGTACGGCGCCCCCGGCGGGATGGGCATGAACCCGATGATGGGCAACCCGATGATGATGGGCATGAACCCGATGATGTCCGGCTTCATGGGCTACCCCGGGATGATGCCTGGCTTTAACCCTCAGCACATGTTTGCCGCACAGCAGGCGGCGCAGGCGTACCAGCAGGCGATGATGGCGTTCTCCATGTCGGGCTCGCAGATGGGCGGTGGCGACGCCGGTAGTGGTGGACCGCCCGGCCAGATTGCGCCGATGAACCCGATGATGACGGGCATGTCGGGCATGGGCGCGTTCGACCCCCGTATGTCGATGATGGGTATGCCGCCGATGATGGGCGGCGCGATGTCGCCGATGCCGATGGGCATGAGCATGCAGATGACGGGCGGCTCGACGTTCCAGATGCCGTTCCAGCAGGGGCAGTTCGGTGACACTCTGACCCCTCAAGGCAACTTCGGTGGGCCGGGCCCAAGTCGTTTCTCGCCCCAAGGTAGCTTGAATGCATCCCCAGCCCAACGGCCGCAGGATCCGGCCGACGAACCGCCTCCGATCAGAGGCCAGCAGGTACCGCCATCCTGAACGACGACGACAAAACACGCAAGTGTAACATACATGCACTCTTCCTGCATTCTCCTCAAATCTCCCTCAAGTTACGCGACGCGATGCGCATCCTTTTACATGGACTTCTCGGTATTCTAGACTCCGATGATCTCATTCTTTTATTGATTTCTCCTCCTTTCTCTCTTCATTCAATGGCGACGACCATCTGTCTATCTATACTTTAGGCTGGAAATTCGGTTAGGGCAGATACCCATGACATTAGCATCGGAATCATCATGCTTTCATATCACATTTGCGTTCTGTATCTTGAGTTTGCATGTGATCTGAGAGCGATGAACTTGCAGTCTGCAAGCTGTTGATGGCCGGTTTGAGGCAATCTCGGTATTGATCTTCAAGCACCGTGTGGGGTTCTCTCTTCTTCCACTGGCAGGGATCGCCTTGTTATGAAAGGGTGGATACCCACAACAGTCTTAGCATCCGAATTCGTCACGGTTCATGTCACAATCCACGTTGTTCTCTTGAACTCTGATATATTGCGTTTGCATGCAACCTTTAGGCGATGAACTGGTGTTCTGGTGATCTTCAAGGCATGCTTTCGCTGATGGTTGCACACGTTGAATCTTGATGCACATTGGCCAAACGGGTTTGAGGCAAGCCAAACACTCGTCTTCAAGCACCACAGTGGGCATGTCGTCGACCGCGTTCGTTTGGCAGCATGCAGATGCATAAGTTATAACTATAATCTAAGAGACTCACGAAGCCAGTTTCTGCGGCGACTTCCTTGCCCTGAGTCTAGTGCTGAGTTTAGGCCGCGGCCTGCTCTTCTTGCTTCTTGAGGGCGCTGTCGCAGCTTTTGTTCTATTCATGGGAGCTCGAAAGGACAGGTTAGTCGGAGGTCCAGACACGTATACAATACATACGCGACTGTATGGTGTGACCGTAATTCTGGGCGTGCTGTCAGTAACGGCCTGGGACTGACAGGCGAATGCCGGACCTCTTTCGTGCTTGCGGTGGATGCGTCGGAGAATGACAATGGAAAAACGATCCCCATGGCGCAGAGCGTAACTTTGTGACGGGGTGTGAAGACGGACCATGCCCAGCAGAGGGACGGAAACGTACTCAGCGGCCGGTAGACGAATACGAATGTAGCCAGCGGCTCGGCGCCCATTAACGTGATGCCGTGCGATTTTCCAGGTTGCCGTTCTCGTGGGGAACCGAAGCTAACGAAGACATGGGGGACTTGATGCGTTTACAGAACGGCAGAACTCACGATGCGACGTGGAACGGGTTGGTATGACTTCCTCTCGAGCTCGTTCTGCGAGATACAAGGTACATGGGATACTTTGGTGCTTCGGGGACGTGCTTGAATGTTGCCTTCCAGAGATATAGAACGATGCTGCCCGTATCCTTACCCGGCGAGTCGATCGGGTCGGTGCTGTCATCTAAGGCTGGGCTTTGTGAGTATTGTGCATAAACGTGTGTAACGCTGGAGATGAACACACCGGTTCCGCATGCAGAGATCCTGGAGAACCGTAAACACCTTCTCACTGTAGGCCGCTCCCGGACGCTTGCGATCCGGCGCTGTAGAAGTATCGAGGGGCCAGCATCTGTGCGCCGAAGCGGCGGTATATTAACGCACTCGGCCTGAGCCATCTCCTTGCCGTCGATAAGCAGAATGCCCTTGATGCCGTACGTCGCGCTCGGTTCAGCGTCTCCGTAGCAAACCGCGAAGTCCTGACGGGTTGAGGAAGGGGCTTCAAGTTCATACCAGAGGCACAGTGGCTCTAATTTAATATACCTGGCCCGCCTCGGAGTGTATCCAACAGCGGCTAGCTTTCCTGCATGTATGATGTTGTACTTGGTATTCCGGGAGTTTACGCTCGCCGGCTTCGACCCAGGCGGAGAACCGTCCTAGATCTGGCATGTGGCATATGTACAGACAATAACAGCCAAGGAAAGACTTTCAACGCGACATCGACGTGAAAAGCAGTCAAGGGTGGCTGGCGGCCAGCGCGTCAACAGCCGAGTAAGGAAATTGCCGACGCGAGGGTCAGGAGAAATGTCCGTGCGGCCTGTCCGTGCGTCCGTGCAAAGCTGTGCAAGGCTGTGCGAATGTCCGTGCAAGTGAGCGAGAATGCCCGTGCAGTCCGTGCCAAACAACGCGTCGCATATCTAAACGCGTGCGTGTCGCGACGCGTCCCAATCACGGTATCCGGTTGATCTGCGGTAGACGCCGTGCATAAAGGACTCGTACCCGCACGCTCCTGCTTCACGGCCTCTGCCAGGCATGCGAATGAGCTGAGGGCCGACGCTGGAATCCGCCGACTCCCTCTCAAGTTGCTCATGCGCCTGCCGGGATGAGTGCACGTGCTGAGGAGGCCAAGGGAATGAGCAGATGTTGCTTCTGCCCTTGGCCCCCGCTGCTGATGACCGGATCTCGAAGTCCGTAGACTGGACGCTACCTCGCGCATCCTGCTGGACAGCCAATCAGGAAGAGCGGTGTTTTGATGGAGACATTACAGACAACACGCTCAACGGCCTACGCCTTGTACTGAGCAAGACCATAGCCGTCATGCCGCCGGCCAGCGCATCATACCGTCCTAAATCGCTTGCTCCTCCGCAGCCCTTCCGGCGCTGGGTCTACTGGGACTTTGATAAGTCGGCCAGTCTTCTCGTCTCGGCGGTAAGCATCGCCCACGTTTTGCTGCCCCGCTACTTTTCGTTTCCGCTCCATGTTCTCTGAGTGCGCATTGGCGCGTATTCCTCTTTCTCTCTCTGCATATTGCAGCCCCTCGTCAACGCGAGATTCAGGGCTCGCTGGATGCCTCTTATGCGTGTTTCTTTGCCCTCCTGCATCCATGCTCCCTTTCCCTTTCGCTTCCACATTCTCCTGCCTTTCCGCGCTCTTCTGTCCTTCAAAGTTCGTGTTCACGCTCTCCTGCCCACCCGCATCCGTGCTCTCCCATCTCCCTGCATCTGTACCTATCCGGCCATCTGCTCTCGTGTTCGGCCGTCCGTGCGCAACGTCTGACTGTCCGTGGGCAGCGTCACCCTGCTGTCCGTGGGCAATGTCGTCCAGCTGTCCGTGCGCAGTCCCGTCCGGCTGTCCGTGCGCAATATCCTGCTGTCCGTGCACGATGTCCGGCTGTCCGTGCACAACGTCCAGCTGTCCGTGAGCACTGTCGTCTGGCTGTTCGTGTGCAATGTCTGGCCGTCCGTAATGAAGGTGTACGAGGGACGGGACGGAGTGCGAATGGAGCGAGCAGCTAGTGTAGATATAAGTCTCACTGCTCGGGTATGGGAGCAAGTCGTATTCATGTACCTAGTGTAGATATAACTACGGTACATTAGCCTTCGGTACAGGGTATATAGACAAAAGAGGGACTCACGTCTCACTGCTCGGGTATGGGAGCAAGTGAGACGTGCGCTCGCGAAAATGAGACGATTATCTGAAGACGGAAGTATAAGTTTTCGTGTCCGAATATGTCCATACCACGCGAAGGCGCGCGCGCCGCGCACGCAACGGCCGACACGGCGTCCGCTTGCATGCTCATCAACCATCTATCTCCAACAGTCCATGCACAATGTCCGGCTGTCCGTGCACAACGGCGTCCGGCTGTCTGCGTGCAACGGCGTCCGGCTGTCTGTGTGCAACGGCGTCTGGCTGTCTGCGTGCAACGGCATCTGCCTGTTGAAGCACCACCTTGTCCATCTGACGGCTCTCATCTGTTACTTGAGGGCTCGCTAACACCGCCTTCTTCCGGCGCGGACGCGGTGGGATCTTTGCTCTTGGCACTGATATATACTTATCCATGGGCCCCGCGTACTTCATCGAGTCCACTGGTATGCGGCAAAGTCCCTTCGATATGGATGGCTTCCATTGGTAGGGCTTCCCATCTGCATCAGGCAGGATCTTGACCAACTCGGCATCAGGTGGAAGTGGAGCGGATGTGGTGAACATCACGCGGCTGCCCTCGATGTATAGCTTCAGCAGGGTACCAGAGCCTTTTGCGCATGCACCAAGAGCGCGTTCAGCATCCGTCAAACGGCGCTGGATGCGTGATACCGGAGGTGCACTTGTTACCATGACGGTATCTTCGTCGTCTGCGTAAAGCAGCTTCGCTGGTCGAAGCTCAAGCTCGGCCAAGATAATCTCATCCCATTGCTCTGGGGGAGTGAGGAGTGCTGTAGTTACAATGCATGAGATGATGCATGGTAGGTTCCGGTTGGAGGGCACGCACCCATTTCTTCGTCTGTGTGTAAGTACGCATTATCGGACAGCTGTGCCGTTGTATCGAATTCACCGGATTCAATTTGATCGAGTTGTGGCTTGAGAACAAGGTCGAATATCTGGTCGTCGTCCGACGGGGCCCGCCCAAGATACTCACGCAGAATGACGAGCTGGAATAGGATGCGTGTCACAGTGGTTGCCTCTGTCATGAATGTGACTGATTTGAGATCCTGAACTAGGTGGGCACATAGTGGATCCGTGAGAGACGAGTCCCCTGGCAGTACCGGCATGAGGAGCCTTGTCCGTCCAACAAAATGTTGTATCGTTCTCCGAGGATCAGACATGTTGCCACTCGCATGTCGTTGGAAGTACTCCATTATGGGATGAGATATGGACCCCAATATAATTGCCCTAATTGTGGGGTATGCATCTTGCATCGCCGATGAGAGGTGAGTGTTGATGTAACCCTTGTCTGCAGCGTCGGCGGAAAGCCTGAGTGGCAATTCTATGGCACCGATCTATATTCGTGCGTAGATCACCAGTGAGTCTTATAATTGAGACGTCCTGAGATCGAAGAACTGACCTTAGATCCTGCCTTCGCGAGGCCCACACTTCGCGCGCACTCGTGGACATGGAGCTTGAATGTTTTGATTGTCTTCTTGTTTGGTGTTTCACTTGCTGTCCATTTGTTACCCACATACCATTGAAGCTCAGCGGTTGCGTCCTTCCTGGAGATGATCTTCGCAGGGAATAACAATCCTCTTTTGGAGCTACTGGTCAGAATATACCGTCCTAAGCTATGTCGTCCAATTATCAGTCACAATTAATGGATGTACTATTAATATTGACGTACATATTTCCGTTCCATAGCAGTTGTCTCCGACAACGTGGGCAGTGCCATGCAACATCCTCATCTCTGTAATCATCTGGAAGCTCAAATTGAGCCCGGATGCATTCGACGTGGTGCCATAGCTTGCAAAGGGTGCATTGAATTGCTTCTCTGGATGATTCCCAGTCACCTCTCAGGCATGCGATGCAGTGTATGTCCGAGCTGTCTGAGCCTGGTGAGCCCTGAGATATATGCGAAGGAGAGGCTGGGGGTTTGATGGTTGCAGATCGTGAGTGTTGCGTTCCTGCGGCATCTGACCCCGATCTGGCTGGAATGTGATTATATTCTTGAATCTTATCGCTCTTCGGGTTGCGCATCCAGATACGGCCTTCCGGTGGTACATTCGCCCAATTGTTGGATGACATCGAAACATTTGGGAGCACTTGAATCGTCGAGGACGAAAAATGAAGATGATACAAGTGCTGAGCCTGTCGGAGACGAGCCGCGAACATCTCCTCTTGTGCTGCTATGCCACCATGGAGATAATATACCACTGAATTTGTTCGAAAGCCTTGCGGAAGTGAAAGGGTTCCGTCGGATCCATATAAGCTGTCTTTTGCACCCCGCGTTGTTCTCCTGTAGTTTCCGTGGCTTTCCATTCCATCGTAGTCATATACATGGGGCCCATGCTTCAAGCGCGCAGCAAAATGGGACTTTGTTGCGCACCATAAGGACCGTCCAACCATCTCGTATGTGAATTTTCCAGATCCACCGACAGCGAGTAGCTTCGGGAAGTCAAAAGAGCTGCCGATTGTGTTGGATGAAACAATGGAATCGCATACTTCGATGATGAGGATGACGGGGAGATGTCAGGGACGGAACTGCGGGGCAAAAATATCGGAAATGTGGAGGTCCGATGCGTGGGAAAAGCGGAGATGAACGATACCGAAGCTGAACGGGTCTGGGACAAGTGGACCTAAGTCCAACGAGCAGGGGCGTACTGCCCAGACCACAACGCAGAGTCGGATGGATGCGATTCAGAGACAATATCGAGAAGAGTGGTATGCTGATGTCGGAGCAAAGTCGGAGCAACGTCGGAGCAAAGCGGGGCAGAGGCGGACTTGACCCGAAGGGTCGCTACACACTCGAGGTCCGCTTAGGAGCAAAGGGGAAAGCCTAGTCGATATTGGAACTGAGGAATATCGTACAGACAAGCTGGTATAAGTACTAAGCAGAACAATGGAAAAGTCGGAGATGAATCTATCATCAGTAGGACAAAGGGAACAGAGAAGAAGATCTAAAGTACATGTGGAACACAAAGGGAATCAGTGCCAAGGAAACCGAGCACAAGGAAGAAGAATATGATGTGAGAATGAGCGAGGACGAACAAAGGGAACATGGGGAGTCAAAGATACGAAAAGTCCGTCGGAGATCCGTCGGAGGACCGCGGGAAAATGAGCGGCGAAGAGCGGAGGAAATGTCGGAGGACAGTCGGTGATAGTAGGCAATGGTCGGCGATGATTGACCCGTGACAGGAGAAGAGGCCAGAGCAAGACTTCCTCAAGCTTGCCCTGACACAATGGCTTGCCATCAATGCTCCGATAGCATCCGTCGAGCTTCACCGGAAGCTGATTGATAGCTGTCATGCTCTTGAACCACGACAATACGTTGCCGTCATATTTGTGATATGAGTCGGACCTCAGGATGAATGTTGAACGGCTCTCGAGCCATGGGCGGACCTGACAATGCACTGGACGGTCTTTGAGGCGGCAGGTCTTGATGCGGACAGAATAGGATCGGAACAATGAGTGCTCAGCAGTACACCCAGGAGTTATCTTATCGGAAGTCAAGCCCGAGATCCAGCCCTGGAATATGTGAGATATCAGACTACATTCACTCAATTATGTCGTGTAACAAGCAACGTACCCAAACAGACTGGAAGGCTGATATACTGGTTCCCTCCACTAACGAGCTTTTAACCAGCATCTTCCGAAATGCATCGCGCTGCTCTGTCAGACGTGACGAGAGATCGAGAGCGCTGGCCATAATATACCGGCTCTCAAAATTCCTGTAGAGCTGGTATAATGGCAAGCTAGGGTTTGAATCCCTGAGACGGGACTCAAAGCTATCCCAGTCAATGGTAACGGCAGCATACAGCAGTGTCAATGCAGTGTCAATCCAACACGAGTTTTGGCTCCATATGTAGCCTTGAGGGGATGGCTCTGGCACATATGCATGCTTTGCCTTGCCTGCGCGCTTGGATTTTGACAGGAGGACTCTTGAGGTGTCAGGAGGACGTCCATCATTAGGAGTTGTTGACTTCCCCGCAGCACGGCTGGCCTTTGTCCTACCCAGTCGTGCTCCAACCACTTTCTATTCCTCGGCCTTGCCATAACGAATTGGAGCGCCCTCTGTAATACATAACATTCAGCATAGAGTATAATGTTATATAATGTGTACACAAACGAAGTGAGCAATTGTAGAGCATCTTGTAATGCTCGAAGAATCCGCACAAACTCTTGAGACCCTCCAGGAGGGTGTGACCAGATTTGCCCAATGCTTTGTAAATCTTCTTATGCTGAGCCTCTTCTGCATTAGTCGTACTGGGCAAGCGCTCCCAATAGTCATCAGGCATCGTTCTGTGAGCCCGGAATAGCATCGGCGCAATGTCTTCTCGAGACCACCAATCCAGCCAGGGTTCTGTCGCAGGATAACAATTGATGATCTCATGTACACGCTTCTCGAAGTCATCAATTGTTTCTGCATCAAGGAGCGAAAGCGCAAGGTCTTGAAAGTGTTCCTCTCGCTCTGGTTGGACAACAGCATGGATGCGCTTGATCCGTGTGACAGCTGCACGAAAGTGCTCGCCGCATCCTCTCAGGAGAGACTTTGCGGCTTCATGTCGCTGACTTGTGGTCCGTCTGTCATCTCTGTCCTCCCAGGATTGACAGTATGCCATCAGAAAAGCATTTCGCTGCGCTTGGCTGTAGTCAACAACCTGCAAATAATTTAATGGTGAGCTATATAACCTAAAGATAACTCAAATGATAGATTACTTGCATTCAGGAAGAGTTGATCCGTGATGTCCACTCCAGTTTTCTCCGCCTCCATTGCTATTGACTCAAAGAGCGCTATAAAGTGCTGCTTATAATGTTCCGCAGAAGCACCATTGGAGTACGATGCAATTGTTGGAACCCAGCAGTTTAGGTCAGGGGAGTAAGTTGAGCTGATAATGAGAAGAGCTTTCTTATCTGCCCAATAACCATGGGCAGCATCGGTAACAAGACCATTAATGGGGTCGCCTAGAATGGTTTCTTTGACCAACAGATGACGCATGAATGAATCTTGAAGGGAAAGCACTGTCACCACACCGAAGATATGATGCAGCAAGTAGTCCGCATAATCTGCCTGGAACTGCGCGAACCCGGTGACGAACCCATCCCCGTTGTTCTTCTGGCTGGCAAGAACTCGCTTCATGTCTTGCTGAACCCGATCTCGGTTTCTCCATACATCGGATAGCTGTGCAACCGATCTACCAACCCCATCCCGTGTTGGAGCACCAACGAGAAGTCCCAGCGCACCGACTTTGGGATTTTCGATGACAAGTTTCTGGAATTCAGTCTCCTCTCGAGGGAGGACGTGCAGCGGATGTGGGTGCGGATGGCCATGTGTCCCACCGTTAATGTAGTATATGCCGTCCTTGAAGGTGTGAAGATACGATTTGATGCCGCACTTGATCCATTTGAGAACCCATTTGCATTTTGGGCATGGCGCCTCGAGCTGCCGAGGGATTTGCTTTGGCCTTGCATGAGGACGGACACGATAGACACAATCGGCATTTCCACAGACTATAACACCATGACATGTTCGGTCTGATTTCTTCCCTTCCACCCATGTCTCCGCGTCGTTTCGACCACGGTGACTGCCGCCACCGACCCTGTGTGCCCAGTGGACCATCAGACCACTGGTAGCTGCAACCTCCTCCGCACTGAACAGGTATGACCAATTTCCATCTGGCCAGCCATCCCACTCGTAGAGCCGTGATGGCTCAGAGTCAGGCTGATCGCCGTCCGGGAGATGAATGAACACGCCTGAATGAGCTGCTGGCCTCGCCAGTCCTCCGAGTCCTGCAGAACGTGTAGCAGCCGGAAAATCTGTCTTCGCCACTCGAGGCTGGAGTCTAGAATCTGTAGTGAGCTGCCCGGGTCGGGATACCATGGCCGCGGGCACGGCACTCGGATTGTCAACGGTGAGAACCCCTATTTCCGAGTATATCTTAGTCGGTTGCAAGGTGACTCCTGAAGGCGTAGCATTTGTGGCAATAGCTGTAGTCAATGTTGTCGCCGCAACATCTGTAGAGCTCCATGGCGGAACAAGAGAGATTGCCGGGTTCTGGTATGCGATCGGAAGGACTTGGCCGGCCGCATCCATTGGGGCTTCGAAGAAAGCAACAAGCTGATCTAAGAGGGAACATAATGAGACGAATGGTAATCAAGACGATAATCGAGGAACGAACTGTTTGTCAGCTGAAAAACAGGCATGAGCGCTGGATGTTGCGCATTCCGATTCACCGGTCGTTCTGCCGTTCCAAGCTGTGTTGTCTTCTGTTCGAATTCCAGATGGATAGGGGGTACAGAGGGCTAATCGAACGTCATTGAGCTTTGAACGTGTTTGCCTACTAGAGCGTATGGACTGTCAGAGTACGCGCTGGAGCTCCTAGGAGCGGCGCGGATCCCCCGGGACGGCGGTGGAGACGCTGTCGCACAAGGCAGGGAAGCAACTGAGTATATATACGAAGATACGAGGGGAAATACACATACCTGTCGCACAAGGCAGGGAAGCAACTGAGAGAACAAGTCTGGGTTGCTCCCTGGTGCGACAGGCGACTATATAGTAGATGAGTAATCCATCAACGCAACGAAAGATGGTCCAATGAGAGAAGGGGAGGGTCCTCGGGCGCCTGACACGTGACCGGTGGACCGGCCTAGGAAGGCCGGGCGAGTGCGGAGGCCCTAGGAGCGCCGAGCGACGGAACGAAATAGGGGAGATGCCAAAAGGAGGGCGCGGGAGAGCGCGACCGAATAGGGAGACGGAAGTATTAGGGGAAATGAACGAAATGGGACAGAAGCGGAAGCAGAAAAGGAGAACAATGAGACATGAGGCGAGTGTGGGAGCCATGCCCTGACATCACCCCCCCTTCAAGACCCGGCGCCTCGACGGGTCGGAATTCCCACCCCAACCGAGTTCCCCCAGCACTTACTATGTCTAAGAGAACTC